CCTCATTGTGGATCTGAACTCGAAACCTTCAGACTGGAAACAGATACAGGGGTTCAGAACAAACTACAAACTTACCTGACTGCACCACTCTGAGATCCTAACATTTACCTGCTTTTAAATTCTAGCTCACACAGAATTTGAAAAAAATATAAAGGAAATAAACTAAAAGCCGTGGAAATCTTGTTCACACAAAGGAAAAACAAAACAAGAAAGGGTTTGCTGCAAGCAAGGCTAGCTGATGAATGAAAGTTACAATCTGGTTTAGGGTGGGAAAATATCAGCCCACCTGATCATGAGGCAGTTTGCTGATGACGTTTGCATCTTCTCTTAGAAGAATGTACTGAAACAATATATCATCCAATCCATCTATATCTGCTGACTTAATACAAAACATGTTAAGCAATGCATAGAGGAATACATCAGATATGCTGTGACTGCACTATATGAGAAGTGTTTACTTAATGACCAGGGTTAAACTAGATCTGTTTATTTAATGACTGTAGTTTAACTATATGTTTACTCAATGAAAGGTTAAACCAGATGTGTTTACTCAAGGACTGAGGTTAGACTATATGCATTTACTTAACTACTGGAGTTAAAATAGATCTATCTACTCAATTACAGGCCAAACTAGTGTTTTACTTGATGACTTGGTTTAAACAAGATGCCTTTACTTAAATACTTGTGTTAAACTAGATCTTTTTTCAATAACTAGAATTAAAACTTGAAGTGTTTACACAGTGGCAGGTTAAACTCATTGTGTTTACTAAAGGACTTGGTTTTTTAAAAAAAAGATGTGTTTACTCAAAAATTGTGAGATGTGAAATTAATGGTATTTAATGACCGGGGCTAAATCATATATGTTTTTTTAATTATTTGAATTACGCTAGGCTTGCCTATGTAATGACTAGCCTTGTAGATTAGTTAATTCAATGACTGGGGCTAAACCGTATCTGTTTATTTAAAGATATGCTTGCCTATGTAATGACTAGCCTTGTAGATTAGTTAATTCAATGATTGGGGGCTAACCCATATCTGTTTTTTTTTTAATTATTTGAACTATGCTAGGCTTGCCTATGTAATTACTGGTATAGATTAGTTTACTCACTGAGTGGGGTTAAATTAAATGTGCTTATTTATGACTGTGGCTTAAATATACATTTTATAAAAATGATTTTGGCTACACTAGGGTTGCTTATTGAATGCAGGCTTGAAGATTGATGACATTCATGTCATAATCATTTAAGAAACAATAACATGATCTCTGCGACATATACTTCCTTGTATATACCTACAGGTATACATACAGATTATCTTCCAGGAGATACAGGTGATTCCTCGCACAAATTCCAAGCTGAAAACTTACTATTATTATTAGATCACCCAAATAAATGTTACCAAGATATAGGATGTTTTTATCTGCTTAACAGTGTACACAATATTTCTGCAACTTTCCTGCAATTTCCTAGCAACAATTTTTCGCAAAAAAAGGTTCTGCATAAAAAGCCAATTGCCTGGACACCAGATAATTGAGAAAAGGCCAGACAATGAAAGAAAAAAATGACATAGAAATAGTACAACTGCACTTTTACAAACATCTGATGTAGTCATGTGTGTATAACAAACAATGTTACTTACAGTTCCAACTGTACTTGCTTTACTGCTCGAACGACTACGTGAGCCTCTGGCAACAATTGTGTCTCGGAAAACTCTCAGGATGAAGTCTGGAAACAGTGCAGTTATTACGAACAGCAACATGGCCAGCCAGGTAACAGGTGTTGAATAGATTTGATCTAAGACTTTAAATAAATCCTTCGTAGTCACTATTGATGACCTTGTGTGAAGAAAAAGAAAGGATGCAAAAATAATTACTGGATGACTTATATACTCAACATATCTAGGTCTTCTGCACTTTGACCCAAAGCCACGCAATGATGTACACTAATGTTCATCAATTATTGTGGTTTCATATCACTTTTGGTGACCTATTCGATGTAAATTAATTAAATATGTTGCTTTCAAAGTATGAAAATATGGCTCTGGGTGACCAAAACCTGCAAGGAAAATTTAGTTCAAAGGTTATTTAGTCTGTGAACTCTGGGTAAAACTAGTTCTGTAGATTTACTTGACTGTTTCACCTGTGACTTGACAGAGCTTTTAACTCAAACATTCAAGAGCTGAGAGACATGTTAACCTAGCTGTTCAGTCACTCACAACTTGTTTTAAACATAGACTAAATATACTTGTATGTACTTTTCTGAAATGTGTTTACATTTTAATGTTTAAAGTCGATTCATTTTTGTTTAATTATTCTCCATGTGACCCAAGCAACACATCACATGCAGTATGTTTTATACTTAGTGAAATCTGAACTCATTCGATGCCAAGCAACTCTCCATACATTTACTGGTAACTTCACACACGTTGTGATTTTCTGAACTCATTCGATGCCAAGCAACTCTCCATACATTTACTGGTAACTTCACACACATTGTGATTTTCTGAACTCATTCGATGCCAAGCAACTCTCCATACATTTACTGATAACTTCACACACATTGTGATTTTCTGAACTCATTCGATGCCAAGCAACTCTCCATACATTTACTGGTAACTTCACACACATTGTGATTTTCTGAACTCATTCGATGCCAAGCAACTCTCCATACATTTACTGATAACTTCACACACATTGTGATTTTCTGAACTCATTCGATGCCAAGCAACTCTCCATACATTTACTGATAACTTCACACAGATTGTGATTTTCTGAACTCATTCGATGCCAAGCAACTCTCCATACATTTACTAATAACTTCACACAGATTGTGATTTTCTGAACTCATTCGATGCCAAGCAACTCTCCATACATTTACTGATAACTTCACACACATTGTGATTTTCTGAACTCTTTCGATGCCAAGCAACTCTCCATACATTTACTGATAACTTCACACAGATTGTGATTTTCTGAACTCATTTGATGCCAAGCAACTCTCCATACATTTACTGGTAACTTCACAGACGTGATTTTCTGAACTCATTGTGAACAAATGTTCTTCTTAAATAATCAAATCTACCCAATTTTTATTTTAACACATTTTGTCTAATCTGGTTATTAATGGACTTCCTTTAGTGTTTACAGCTGTTATGATTAGCTGTGGCTTGGAGAGAATGGAATAAAGTAGCATTTGTATGATGCTGAAAAATGCAAATAATTTAGACTGTTGAATTTACATGTGTTGGGCTGAAAAGTGGTGATATCACAGCCTAGCTGTAAACCACCTTTTAAAGGTGGAAGAAGAAAAAAGAAGAAGGATACAATTTTTGGGGGTTAAGTATTATGTGTACACAGCTTCTATACTCATTACATGTTAATCTTTCACATGAGAGTCAGGTTCATTCCAATGTTCATATTTTGTATCTAAATCAAGCCCAGTTTCTGTAACTGTTATAAATATTTTCAATATGTTTTTTAAAAATGGTGTGTTTTCCATACAAAAAAAACTGTTATAGATAATATGAATGTGGAGGACAATATACAACAAGGTAACAAAAACCTATTTCATCCGATGTAATTCACAATTATAGTATGTCTGTGTAGGACAACATTTACTGCCTAAATCAATAATGAATGCAAGTATCATTAAAATAGTCTGCAGAAAACAAACATTTAAAAAAACATGGAACAGCACATGTGGTGTACAAACTATGTTTAGGTTTATGTTTTAGGTTTAAACAATGGATCAACATCATGGCACAAAGGTTAACCTATAAGTGCTCGGTTCTATTTCTAACTCAAACCTGAGTCAGAAGAATCTCAGCGCAGTGCACGAACTCCGTAGTACTGGCGAGGATCCTGATTTTTAACTTCAAATTTTGTCCGGGCAGTGCCGTTAGGTTGCTCTTTTTGATTTCCAACTGCCAAGGGATTTTTTACCGGCGGTTGGCTTCAGTGTATTCACTGCTGTATTTTGTAATATTATGCACTGAAGCCCCCAGGGTGCGAAAGCCATGAAAACAGTCCCTTTTTTTCCCAATTTGTCCGCCATGGAAATCAAAATCTGGTATGTCCAGGATAATGAACGTGCTTACTAACCTCTAAGCCACAAACACTCACAAATGTATACTTAACCTACATTCAGACATGACACTTGTGATTTGTTCATTGTTTTAAAGGCTTTTTTGTTAGAAAATCTCCTAGGAGTGAAAAGCTAAAAGTTTATAAAGGTTTTCTAGAACTTTATCTGGTATCAATGTCAAAGTTCTAACCTTGCAAAGTATGATCAATTTTAAAACTGATACAATGTTTCCACTTATTTGATACTGAAAGCTGCTAAATAATACTGTGAGCCTAAATACCATTACAAATAATGGTTCTTGCAGTCCTTTCTTTAGTCAGATGAATCATCATCTTTACATCGCAGATGGAAGTAACGGATCACTATTTACAGTTTCTGACCCTGATTGGCACAGACTAACAATCTGTTATGCTACCTTCCCATTTCTATTTCTTTTGTTGCCCTATGTTGTCCATAGGCCTATAGGCATGAATCCCATCAAGCCATCTTATCTGTTGCTATCTCCTGCACTTCCCTCTAATCTTTCACTTCTGTCTGTAATTCCTTTATACGTGTGTTATTAGATCTACTTTTATATTTTACCTGTGTTCCAGTAGAAGTACATTCTTTTACACTAGTATCATATCATTCAACTGAATTCATTTCATTTGTGTAACTTTGCCTTTCAACTTGTCAAATTTTCAGAAAGGCAATATGTCTATTGAATGACTGAACACAAAGGAACAGCAGAAATACTATATATACACTTCAGAAATAAACACATTTACTGTATTTCTGTAGTGCAGCATTACTGTTGTTGTGTTTGCTGATAAAGACTTTGGTCACAGCATCTGTCTGTGTCTCCTTTCACTTAGTTTTCTAGTTACTATTTTGTGTTTTCATGAAACAGGACAGACACTGTAAGAGATTGTTACTCACGGGAAGTAGATGTTGGTGTAGAAGGCTGACAACACAATGATACCAACAAAAGTGATGACATAGGCAATCAGGGTTGGCACACACCAGTAGTAAGTCTCCAACAACAGCTAGAACATATGAGATCAACAATAATGTTTGTTGGTACAACATTTATAAATAGGTAATTTAGGTTGAAAGGACATCTGATTTGATTTGATTTGATTTGATTCAAGAACCAACATCTCAGCACTTGGGCATTCCCATAAGCACTCCATCCACCTCTTCAGCAGCCAGCGAAGAGTTACGATACTAATGGTGCCAGTAGCATTCTGATTAAGCGTAGTCTTGCCTTTCCTCCGAGCCTCGAGCATCTGCCAGAACCTCTCGTCAGTCCCCCCCTGCATCAATCTCACCAGACTGGGGTGATCCATCTGATCCTCCGAACTGTACACGCTCTCCCACAAGGCACTAACCACTTCTGCCTTATCATGCATCAGTATTCCACCAAGTTGCGCAGAGCCAGCCAGTCTGTCTGCCTGTTCATTTCCTAACACACCGGTGTGCCCCGGTGAAAAATGATAGGACATCTAGAAATATTTAGTATGAGTTGATACAGCACCTAGAAATAGGCAATCTGGGATCTGGAAATAGGCAATCTTAGGCAATCTGGGTTAATGTAGCATCTAGAAAAAGGTAATCTGGGTTGATAGAGCATATAGAAATAGGTAATCTGGGTTGATACAGCATCTAGAAATAGGTAATCTAGGTTGATGCAACATCTAGAAATAGGTAATCTGGGTTGATACAGCATCTAGAAATAGGTAATCTAGGTTGATGCAGCATCTAGAAATAGGTAATCTGGGTTGATGCAGCATCTAGAAATAGGTAATCTGGGTTGATACAGCATATTAAAATAGATACTCTAGGTTGATACAGCATCTAGAAATAGGTAATCTGGGTCGGTACACACCGGTAATAAGTCTCCAGCAAAAATATGAGAACAACAATAATTACAGTTATCAAGCTATCAATCATCGCCCCAATCTTATGATAAAAGGTCATCCCACAATAGCTCTGCTCCTGAGCCAGTGAGAACTTAAATGAAATGCTTATCACTGTCACATGTGAAGTTCACAGGTGCAATTGACAACACAAATCTCCGGCAGCAAAGACAGAAAAGCTTTCCATGTGAAATCCACAGCTCAGAGTGTTGCACCATGCACCTAGCTCAGTAGCTGTGTGATGGGACCAGATACTGTGTTTACCATATTCAGTTTCCTGCAATAGGTTCAAATGCCTACCTCCCACTGGAATAATGGGCAGAACAGGATCCACCACATGGAGGTGCGATGAGCAGAGATATTAAGGCTTGTGTTGCCCTTAACTGACACTTTAGGCCTCCAATTACATTTGGTTCTAAAAATAGCTGATGTATTAATGGTGAAACGATTTTTTCAATCTACAGTATAACCTCATTAACACAAACACCAAGGGACAGAAAATCGAGTCTCTGTTCAAACTATCTGTGCTAACAGGGTGACCAATAACAACAATAGATCCCTGCTGGGACCAAAATTTTGTTGATGTTTACAGAGTATTCTTTATAAGTGAGTTCATTTTAACATTTTTAACTGAACTATCTTATGAGGTTGTTTCAACCACTTTTATTGCTATTTATGTTCTATGAAGCATAGGTTCTTAACTCATGCCAGATTGGTTTGCCATCCATTGCCATCTGGCGCAGGTCACACCATGACCTCCCCCTGTGTTTTTTAAAAGTCTGTTTATTCGCCCAGACCTGCGGGTTTCAGTGCCAGGTCATTCCACTGATACCATGGCAAGGTTTCCTTAGTGTGTGTTCCATCCAGCGGCAGCACCTTTTCCTGATCTCTTAATTTGTTGGAACAGGTATAGTTTGTCCCAAAGCTCCACATTAGTGATTCTGTCGAAGCACTTAACTGAAGCTCACTGTAGTCACGTGACTTACCAGGGTAACTTCAAATTTACGATAAATTCCGTCTGCTTACAAAGGAGGGGGTTGTTGATTTTTATTGTTAACGCTTCAGCGATTCTCAAAAGTCTCCAGTTCGAACCACACGGAAAGCTGTCTGTGTCAATTATGTGTCTAGAATTCAGTAGATGCCGTCAGAAGAAGCGAGTTCTTTCCTCTTGACTGGTCTCGACCATTAATATTAAACTTCATGGGCACTTAGTATATTTAAAGAGACAGTGAAATTCCTTTGCCAAAAAAAAAAAACAACACTGCAGAAGAAGAAGAAAAAGAAGATGAAAAATAAGAGGAGGAAGAGGAAGAAGAAGAAGCCGGGCAATGAATGTTTGTAATTGATTATTTCAGACATTCTAAACTAGTAGATACTATCTCGACACTGCTGGGAATCTAAATAACATAACAACCACAAAATGGTGCCCGTACCTTTAAATTGACAGTGATAACACAGGAGTACAGTATAAGACTTCCAAAGTCAAAATTTCCTATACCCTGAAAATTATTAAATAGTTCGTATTAAATTAAGAACTATAAAATATTTTACATTAAAATGTGAATGATAATATAGTTGAACAAATGAAAATAATAAATTATTCCTCATAAACACAAGAATGAGAAAATAGTCCACATTAAACTTGGAATGCCAGTGAACAGATTAAACTGAGAATGATAATATAGTCTAACATATGAAAATGATAAATTATTCCACATTAACACAAGAATGATAAAAAAATTACACAATAATCTGAGACTGATACATATTTGCACATTAAGCTGAGAATGATAAAACAGCACACAATAACACATATCTGAATATGATAATGTTTTTAAAGTTATTCTTGACTGCCATTTGCTTTTATTGTCATTGCTTGATCGCGTCAAACCAATAACACAATGAATTCATAATAAAAATGCAATCTTTTGACTTTTTCAGTACGTAGCAGATGTTTTTACCAAGGAGATTATTCTAGTCTAAAAATGTATTTTAAATAATCATTTGAGTTTGAGAAGTTGAAGTAATAAGTTAAAATAATAAAATTGTAGCTGGTCAGAATTGGGACACAATGGGATTGGTCAAAGGTCTGGAAACAAATATATCACAGAAGACAAAAAACACATGATGAGTTGCTTGGTAAGGAATCAGAATGAGTGAATTCTACAGCTATGAGTTAAATCTGTGAGTAAAACTGAATCCTTCTGAAGCAAAGCTACAGCTATTATAATAATGCAGCCAGCAATTTAAAACAGACTCCAGAACTTGGCATCAACTAGCAAGATTGATGGACAGAAAGCAAACAGGAAGGCAAAAAGATGACCTGGCCAGACAGACAAGGCAAGACAAAACACTGAACTGATCCATGATTCTGGTGATCGTGTGAGATGGCAAAACATGACAGCCTAAGTTTACATGACGATGATTAACCTATTGTTCATTTGGATGGGAGCAGAACACTGACATGATTTGTGATTCTGGTGATCATAGAGATGGCCAACCATGAGCTCCTATGCTTATCAGTATGGCACAGGATGATGATTACTCAATGTCTGGTTTCTATGTATCAGTTTCATTATTTCATGGTTACTAAAGCAGACAATTTAATGTGAAAAGAATCATGACTTACCACACCAGACTCAAACATTGATGCCCCATTGATCTGCAGCAGTAATGTTCCAAAAAAGATCACAACACAGTGCCACAAACCTGCACAGAAAAAAAAAAAATCACACTTCTACTGTCTTTTGTCACAAGAAGGCAGGCAATAATCATAATATGTGTACTCTTCTGTGTCCCTCCATATGTTAACATACACTGGAGGCTTGTTACAGTAGTGCACAATAAAAATGGCATCCGTTCACCTTGTACACGAACAGAACTGCAGAGTTAAGCATAAGATAAAGAATTTAATCTTCGCTTCTGTTGATAGTGATACCTGAACATTTTTCTTGCTAGCTACATACCCAACACAAACTCAGATAAATGAGCTGCTAGTTGATTCAACCTAAATTCTAGTTGGACTATTTTGGGGAACCTCTCCTGTGGCAGAACCATCTAGCAGTGTCACTTACTTCAGCACATACTGTGAGTTCAATCAAAGTCAGAGTTGTGCCCTCACCGTGTACAGACAAGACTGAGAATACCCAAGAGATTTTTACACCAGTCAACTCTAAAAGCTGACAGACCCTGGTCCAGAACAACTCCAGCAGAAATGCCATAATCAGATGACATGTAGATGTCCCAGAAACCAACTATTTGTTGTCTTTTTTCACTCTGGTAATCAGTGAAGTTCACACTAGAGACAACATTGCAGATATAAATAATTTATTTCAAGCAAACAAAAGAAGACGACTCTTGTAATGTACAATTTGTGACAGAGATTAAAAGCAGAACAGGTCAAGTGAAAGCTGCATTTCAGAAAATGAAAAATATCTTATGCAATAAATCTTCTTCTTCTTCTTCACTTCCTCTTTTACCGCTGTGGGTGTCGAGGGAGATATAAGGTTCTGTTTCTAGCTCTTTTGGCTGCCTCGACCATAGGCACATCGTGCTGTTGTAGAGTTTCTCTGATGTTATCCTTCCATCTTGTTCTTGGTCTACCCCGTGCTCTACGTCCTTCTTCTCTTTCCATGTATGCTTTGTATGGTATGGTGTCACAAGGCATTCTCTCTTAAGTGGGCAAACCATTTCACTTGCTGTCTTTGTATGTAATCCAGAATTGGCTCTGTGCCGACTTGTTCTCTTATGATCTCATTCCTGATCTTATCTCTTATGGTCACTCCTACAGCCCTTCTCAGACATCTCATTTCCGTGGTTACTAATTTTCTTTTATGGTTTGTTGTGAGTGACCATGTCTGGCACTGGTAGCACAGAGTTGGTATAAATATGCTTTGAATAAGATGTCTCTTTGTGCTGATTGGGATTGTCTTATGCTGTAAGAGGGGGGCTAGCTGTCCCAATACTTGGTTTGCTTTACTGCATCTAATGTCAATTTCTTTATCCAATTTCCCATCTTCGGTAAATGTAGTTCCCAGATATTTAAACTCAGATGCCTGTTTAATGCCTTTGTATTCTATTGCTATGTTTAGATCTGTCTTCTTTTTTCCTATTGACATTACTTCTGTCTTTTCAGTGTTGATTCTCATATTATTTGTTTTATATCCTTCATTCATGGATGTTAGATGTTGTTGCAATTTTATGGCTGTATCTGCTATCAAGGCTTGGTCATCTGCAAAGAGTAGTTCGTTGATCTTACTAAGATCTTCATTCATGGGCTTGGCATTCTTGCATATACTGTCGATGAAGGTGATAAACAGCAGTGGTGATAAGACACACACCTGTCTTACTCCAGATGTCACTGTGAAAGGATGAGATGTTCCCTGATTTATTCTAACTACACTTCTACAATCCCTGTATAAACTTTTGCACACTTCGATGAGGTGTTCGCTTACTCCATATCTTGCCATTATTTTCCATAATAATTGTCTGTCGACTCTGTTAAATGCCTTCTCCTGGTCTACAAATGCCACAAATAAGTTCTTATTGTATTAAATGTTCTTTTCTATTAACTGTTTAAGTGTGAAGATTGCATCTGTGCAGCTTCTATTTCTCCTAAATCCCATCTGTTCTTCTGCCAGCTGTGGTTCTATCACTGGTCTCAGTCTTGTTTCTATTATCTTGGCATACATTTTGCCAACATGGCTTAAAAGAGAGATGCCTCGATATTGACCGCATTCTCGTTTGCTTCCTTTGTTCTTCCACAATGGTATAACTATTGCATGTTGCCAATCAATAGGGGCAGTTTGTTGTACCCATGCTGCATTGAATATTCTGTGAAGCCATCTGATGCTGCTTTCACCTGCTGCTTGAATTATTTATGTTGGTAATCTATCAGCTCCTGGTGCTTTATATTTGGGAGACTGTTTATTGACTTTTTCTATTTCATCCATTAGTATGTGTGGTTCTAACACTGTTGCTCTTTGCTCTTCAGTTGTTCTTTCCTGATGATCTCCTAGAGGATTAAAGAGCTCATTGAAGTATTCCCTCCATCTTTCTGCTATCTCGGGTGGATCTATCAATGGCCTTCCTGTCTTATCATTAATTATTTCAGTGGGGTTATAACTCTCATCTCTTTTCCGCATATTTTTAACTACTTTGAAAAATTTTCTGCTGGCTGTTTTCTCATTTTCTGCTAGTGACTCACCGAAACGTTCCCAGGATGCTTGTTTTGCTTTCTTGACACTCCTGTTGGTTTCTCTCCTTTGCAGTCTATAGTTTATATAATCTTCTTCTTTCTTTAATTTTATCCACTGTTTATATAAGTCTTTTTTCTTTTTAATTGCTTCTTTTACTTCTTCGCACCACCAAGGTGAATATTTGTTATTTCCCCGTCTGTTTCCACTCTTCCGTTTTCTACATAATTCTTCTGCAGTACTAAGCATAGTGTTTTTATATATACTCCATTCTTCCTCAATATTGCCAACTACATGTGGAAGTTGTTTGAATGTTGTCTCTACTTTCTGTTGTAACTGTTCTTTTACTCCTTCCTGTTTCAGATTTGCTATCTTGATGAGATCCTTGTTTTTGTTTAATTTCTTTCTGTGTTTCTTTAATGTAAGATGTTTTGCTGTTAACACAACTATTTTATGGTCAGTGTCACATAGACCATTAGGGATTGCTCTTGAATCAAGAATTCTCCTTCTTCCTTGAACTCTGGTAAGTATAAAGTCAATCTGGCAATAGATGGAGACATCATTCCATTTGTACCAAGTGTAAAGTTGTGAATCTCTATGGTCAAAGAATGTGTTTGTAATAAAAAGATTGTGCTGGCTGCATAGATCCAATATTCTTTGACCAAATCCATTTCTAGCACTGTTATGCAATAAATCACTCTCATTTAATGTCAGAAATTCAGTCCTGAAATGTTACACAGAACCTGTTCTGCTGCATGGCAGCAAATCTTGGAATGCCAGTGAACAGATTAAACAAGAATTTGGAAGCAACAGAGATGTGGTTTCTGAGACAAATGTTACAAATACCTTGGACGGCCATAGTAACTAACAACGATTGTTGGAAAGAAGCTAATTAAAAGTATATCTTTATATGCAATAATAAGAAAGAGACAAACACTGGTCTTTGGCCATGTAATGAGAATAGAGACATTGGAGAACATTGTTACAACTGGAAAGATCAGTGGAAAAAGGGGTAAAGGCAGACCAAGAGAGAAGATGATGGATGGGCTGAAACGATGACGTGAAGGGATATCAAGAGAGCTGTTCTAGGCAACCAGGGATTGTGATCTGTGGAGATACATAAGCGCCTAAGCCAGTTGGCAGGGCACATGATGATGATGAATGTAAAAACACTGATCTTCTGAATACCCCCATAAAAACAATCCTGCTTTATATCTGAAAAGAAGAACTACTTGAACATCTACTACTGAACTATTTCAGCTCCCAGGGGCTGATATTCTGACTCATTTTATCCAATGCACTTGTTGTGTCTACAGTTCCTTAAATCACTTTAATAAACAGAAGAAAAAAAAAACAGGCTGGTTCAATGTAACAACTGGATAAAGCAGGATTAAGAAAAGCATGTAACATATGCACCAGGTACAGTCCTGGCAAGTAAAGGCGGCTGGCGTGATGCTGGCCACTTTACTCACAAAGTGCCGTTTGGTCTATAAAATATAGGTCTAGCCACGTATACCCTCCCTGTATGGGTTCCAGGGCGCTACTATAGTGAAAACAAGAATAGCCCCACTGCCTACCCAAAAGCATGTCATAAGAGCCGACTAATTGGGAGCTTCCTTCAAAGCCTGAGTGCATCTGCCTGAGAGGCAAGGAACCAGCAGTCTGCATACAAATGAGTCAGATCTGTAAAACCAATACACAAGCAACACTCAGGTTTTGAAACAGGACTGCAGTCCAGAAGTGGATGAACAACCAGAACTTTCCGCCAGAGTTTACAGCTGGTGAACGCAAAGAAGATGAAGTAGACCCAATACAAGGCGTGGAGAAGGGTCCTTTAAAAACAAAAAATATGCAGGTAACAAAACACACATGGTCAGTTCCAAAATACCAAATGAGTTGTATATATTTAATCACAGCTAATTCCCCTCTCTTCTCTGTGTGTGTGTGAGACAGAGAGAGAGAGAGAAAGAGAGAGAGAGAGGAGAGATATGGAGTGGAAGAGACAAGGGAGAGAGATGAAGAGATATAGCAAGCTGTGTGTATGTATGTGTCTGTGAGAGAGAGAGAGAGAGACAGGAGAAGAGAGAGGGAGTCAGAGATGGGGAAGGAAAGTTTCTAGTAGGTTTATATTAAATCTTTTCTGGTGGGTAAACATAGAATATTATTTCCCAGACAGGAGAGTGTTATTCAAGTAAGCTAATCCATCCTGTTCAGGTCTATTTCCTGATGCAGCCTTCTGTCAAGTGAGCACCACCTCATTCACTGTCCTATTGAAAACATTCCATTACAAACTTGTTCTATAGTAGAAGACATTCTTTGAGTCCATACCTGGAAAAGAAATTCTGTCTAATGCATAATTTCCGCCTATAATTGCCACAATCACACCAGCTTCCCTTTAAAGTCACATAGTTTGTGTTTTATCACTGACAAACATAAATGTGTTTACACAGAAACTGATGACATGACAACTTACCCAAAGAGTTCCATCTCAGAAACTGAGTCCAGCTCAACGTAGCATTCCTACTAATTTTTCTGGAAAAAAAAAAAAAGTAAACACAGATTAGGAGTAGAAAGGTCTATATATACATGCACATACACATATGTGTAGGCTTAGCAGCTATTTATTGTTGCTAAGAATGTAAAAATTGGGAGTAAAGATCCTGACACTGGAAGTACACAAAGGAAAGTGTGCACAACATGGAACAAGTGCAAAATTACTGTAAACTAATGCATTGAAATGCATGAAAAAAAAAACTGTGACAAGGCAATGCCATTTCAATAAATGTGCATGCACTAGTTTTTTTTTGTTTTTTGTTTTTGTTGGGGGGGGGGGGGGGGGGGAGGGGAAAGGTGTGGTGTTACTACTTTATGAAGCATAGTGGACTGTCTGTGCATACACACACAAACCCAGTGGTGGGAGTGCATATAAAGGCTTCTGAAGATCTGTGAATAATTTCTAGCACTAGTTATATTTTTCTTTAAATCAGTTTTTCTAGAAAATTAATTTTTTTTTGAGGGGGTATTTTGTAAAAGGGAGTGTCTTATACACCAACAAGTATGGTAACCTTATGCTACCACTGTAACACATGGTCCCTTACCACAACTAATGACCTAAAAATCATACCAAATGAGGTGAGATGTCTTAGGAGCTAACAACTACCACAGACAGCCATGCTAAAGAAACACAATGAGCATGTGTGAGTGGCAACAATGGCATTACAAACAACCTAAATGAAATGAAGACCGACATATAAATGCACAGGCAGTCATTACATTTCCCCCCCAACACTTTGCTTAGATAACAGAAGAACTAATTTGTGACTTAAGTGTTAAATATTTAAAACTTAGACGCGACAACAATGCAGAAATTCAAAGAAACAAAACAACAGTGTATACTTTTAAAGAAATGAACAAACAGGAAGTTACCTGTACAGTTCGGGCTTGTTGAGAAGCTCATCCTTTGGTATATGCTGCTCAAAAAGTCCATAGATGAGGATGGGAAGGGATGTGAAGGTCAGGTTGTAAAACATCAGATAAAATGGATCAAAGAGGGACTGAAACAACAAGTCAACATCTATCATTAGACACATGTTTAGTCTGACTCCCATATGCTTTCAAAAAGACACATGTTTAGTTTTACTTTCGCTGAAAATCTCATTCTGGGTTGCTTTTTTTAAAACTCTTTCAGTACCAGGCTACATACCCTACATTAGTGCAAGAGCATGGTGCCCATATAAGCATTGTTTACCAAAAAACATCAGTGACTAGATAACTTGTTGCTGAGTTTTCCAGTCACAGTGTGTGTTGTATTTAGTTGATTAAAAAAAAAACTAGCTGGCTCACTACACTCAGGGGAAGGGCAAGACGGACATATAACCAGATTTAGCCTGGTACCGTTAGTACTGGAACTCTACGCTGGCTTCTGAAGATGAGGACAGAGCACACATGGGAATGCTTCAAGTGCTGGAAAGTCAATTCTCAACTCAACTCTGTCTCATCAGGTGTATACTACAGTAACAATTAATTATGCAATCTATTGTTTGTGACTTCTTTTGCAAATGTAAAATAAGCAAACATTGATGTGATTTAGCACAGAAAGGATGACACTGCACCAGTAAATGATGTGATTTAGCACAGAAAGGATGACACTGCACCAGTAAATGATGTGATTTACCACAGAAAGGATGACACTGCACCAGTAAATAATGTGATTTACCACAGAAAGGATGACACTGCACCAGTAAATGATGTCAGACCACCACAGAAAGGATGACACTGCACCAGTAAATGATGTGATTTACCACAGAAAGGATGACACTGCACCAGTAAATGATGTGATTTAACACAGAAAGGATGACACTGCACCAGTAAATGATGTGATTTACCACAGAAAGGATGACACTGTACCAGTAAATGATGTGATTTACCACAGAAAGGATGACACTACACCAGTAAATGATGTCAGACCACCACAGAAAGGATGACACTGCACCAGTAAATGATGTGATTTACCACAGAAAGGATGACACTGTACCAGTAAATGATGTCAGACCACCACAGAAAGGATGACACTGCACCAGTAAATGATGTGATTTACCACAAAAAGGGTGACACTGCACCAGTAAATGATGTGATTTACCAAAGAAAGGATGACACTGCACCAGTAAATGATGTGATTTAGCACAGAAAGGATGACACTGCACCAGTAAATGATGTGATTTACCACAGAAAGGGTGACACTGCACCAGTAAATGATGTGATTTACCACAGAAAGGATGACACTTCACCAGTAAATGATGTGATGTGATTTACCACAGAAAGGGTGACACTGCACCAGTAAATGATGTGATTTACCACAGAAAGGATGACACTTCACCAGTAAATGATGTGATTTACCACAGAAAAGATGACACTATACCAGTAAATGATGTGATTTACCACAGAAAGGATGACACTACACCAGTAAATGATGTCAGACCACCACAGAAAGGATGACACTGCACCAGTAAATGATGTGATTTACCACAGAAAGGATGACACTACACCAGTAAATGATGTCAGACCACCACAGAAAGGATGACACTGCACCAGTAAATGATGTGATTTAGCACAGAAAGGATGACACTGCACCAGTAAATGATGTGATTTACCACAGAAAGGATGACACTACACCAGTAAATGATGTGATTTACCACAGAAAGGATGACACTGCACACAGTAAAATGATGTGAGACCACCACAGAAAGGATGACACTGCACCAGTAAATGATGTGATTTACCACAGAAAGGATGACACTGCACCAGTAAATGATGTGATTTACCACAGAAAGGATGACACTGCACCAGTAAATGATGTGATTTACCACAGAAAGGATGACACTGCACCAGTAAATGATGTGATTTACCACAGAAAGGATGACACTACACCAGTAAATGATGTCAGACCACCACAGAAAGGATGACACTGCACCAGTAAATGATGTGATTTACCACAGAAAGGATGACACTACACCAGTAAATGATGTGATTTACCACAGAAAGGATGACACTACACCAGTAAATGATGTGATTTACCACAGAAAGGATGACACTACACAAGTAAATGATGTCAGACCACCACAGAAAGGATGACACTGCACCAGTAAATGATGTGATTTACCACAGAAAGGATGACACTGCACCAGTAAATGATGTGATTTACCACAGAAAGGATGACACTGTACCAGTAAATGATGTGATTTACCACAGAAAGGATGACACTGCACCAGTAAATGATGTGATTTACCACAGAAAGGATGACACTGCACCAGTAAATGATGTGATTTACCACAGAAAAGGATGACACTACACCAGTAAATGATGTCATTTACCACAGAAAGGATGACACTGCACCAGTAAATGATGTGATTTACCACAGAAAGGATGACACTGCACCAGTAAATGATGTGATTTACCACAGAAAGGATGACACTGCACCAGTAAATGATGTGATTTACCACAGAAAGGATGACACTACACCAGTAAATGATGTCAGACCACCACAGAAAGGATGACACTACACCAGTAAATGATGTCAGACCACCACAGAAAGGATGACACTACACCAGTAAATGATGTCAGACCACCACAGAAAGGATGACACTGCACCAGTAAATGATGTGATTTACCACAGAAAGGATGACACTACACCAGTAAATGATGTGATTTACCACAGAAAGGATGACACTACACCAGTAAATGATGTGATTTACCACAGAAAGGATGACACTACACCAGTAAATGATGTCAGACCACACAGAAAGGATGACACTGCACCAGTAAATGATGTGATTTACCATCAGAAAGGATGAATACACCATAAAATGTGATTAGCCAGCAGGATGACACTACACCTAAATGATGTCAGACACCACAGAAAGCATGACACTACACCAGTAAATGATGGATTACCACAGAAAGGATGTGACTGACACCAGTAAATGATGTGATTTACCACAGAAAGGATGACACTACACCAGTACAATGCTATGTGATTTACCACAGATAGGATGACACTACACCCAAATGATGTCGCAGTGACAAAGAATCAATAGGTTTGGTCATCAAAAGAATAGAATAAAAGCAGCCAGCTGTTACAAAGTGGATGACACAAGGAAGGGGTGTGAGCTTTTATCGATGTGCAGTGAGAATGATCTGTCGACAAAAATGTGAGTGAAGGGAGTAAAAGAAACACAACAGAAACACAACATGACATTAACACAAGCTATACAACTAGCAAAAGATAGGAAACTACATCCAACTCCTCGCAGTGACACTTTATGGCATAGGCAAGACAAAAGAAGAAGAAGCAGTCACTGCACAATGTGGGATATAACACAGTTTAAAGGATATTAGCACATTTATATGTCATGTTAATGATCAGTTCGATATCAACATTAGCAGTATTGTTTTTATATCAATGTTAACACTGTTTATATAATGAATTAAAACAGTTTATATCACTTGTGCTGTAATCCAGGCAACATTCTGCAGAGACGTACAAGACATTATTCAGTTTATATCAATGTTAACACAGTTTATATCAATATTAGCACAGTTTATATCAATGTTAACACAGTTTATATCAATGTTAACACAGTTTATATCAATATTAGCACAGTTTATTTAAACGTTAGTACAGTTTATTTCAATGTTAACAGTCTATATCAATGTTAGCACAGTTTATATCAATATTAGCACAGTTTATATCACTGTTAACACAGTTTATATCAATGTTAGCACAGTTTATTTAAATGTTAGTACAGTTTTTTTCAATGTTAGCACAGAACCAATGCTAGTTTTACTACTATAATGAATCAATGTTAGTTTTACCACCATAATGAATCAATGTTAAATATTACCACTACAATGAATTACCACAACAGTGAATCACAACTACAATAAATCAATTAGTATTACCACTAGAATGAATCAATGTTAATATCACTACTACAATAAATCAATGTTAACATCACTACTACAATGAATCAATGTTTATGTTACCACTATAATGAGTCAATGTTAAAATTACCACTACAATAAATTAATGTCAGTATTACCACTACAATAAATTAATGTCAATATTACCACTACAATGAACCAAGATCTTCAGGATGACAGGTAATCAATCATCTAGCCACTGCACAACCACAGCCCTCTTTACAGATTTTTACTTGCCAGTAATCCAATAATTTAAAAAAAAAATTTTTAAACTAATGCCAAACTGTCTAGAGTGACATGAATGAGTTACTGTTGTGTTCTTCCTATATGGGCTACTGGGCAAACAACAAAATCAATAACAAGAGACCCCTAACAATTATTTCATAAAAGTAAAAAAATTATGTATTTGCTGAAATCAGAAGTGTTTGTCCAAAATGTCCAGATAGAGCCTTGTTGTAAACCCCAAAATAACATGCCAGCTCCCTTTCTAAGAAAGAATGAAGAAGAAGAAATTCAGCTTTCAGGATTTGTGCAACTATATTTGTTATATTATTTAATTATTTAAGTAGCAAACAAATCGACAGCAGGGCATTGGGTTTTTGTTCACGGTGTCCAGAAGAGAGAGAAAAATAAAAGGAGCCTTATCCACGCCTTCAGGTATACTGGTCACACAGGGCTAGAACTACATTTTATAGACCAATCAGCACTCCGTGGGTATTGTAGGCAACATTATGCTGGCTGTCTTTACTTTCCAGGACTTTTTTTGGTAGGCATTGAAAGCCGGGTTGACCTAGGAGCCAAAGGTCATTTTTTCTTTAAAAGTGTGGCTCCAAAGGGATCTGAACCCATGAAATTTGACTTCACAAGCAAGCATCTAGCCACTACACCAGGGTGGCGCTTACAAGAGAAAGAAGCATAACCTTTATCTCCAATGCCTGAAGCAGTAACAGAGGGAATGAAGAAGTTGTAGCAAACAACACACAATGTCTGACTAGCTATTACCTATGTGCAGAAATCAGTATGTTTATGAGTTTGTTGACCATCTCAGGTTTAGTTAGGGCACACTAAAGCACCCCAACAACACACACCCCAACAACACACACCCCAACAACACACACCCCAACAACACACCCCTCAACAACACACCCCCTAACAACACACACCCCAACAACACACCAGTCTCCTACAAGAGATTTGTATATTTAACCCTGCAGATGTAGTACACCTAAGATACTGTTGTCATGGTAACTGTCTCTCTTGTATATCAGTTATCACCTTTAATGATCGGAAGAGATAACAAAAATCCAATATTTAAAAAAATTAAATGACCTGGTACTAACCTTATAGAAAAAATATTGCACAAGAACAGCAATGCGATTATAATACAGATGACCATGAAAGAGTAAGGCACGTCGCAGGAACTTGAATTTCCCAAACGCATAGTCACTGTTTCGGACAGCTTGCCTCCCTTCTTTACCCATGATTCCTATAAAACAATGCAAACCAATCATCATCAGTAAAAACCAAAGAATTTGCTTCCTACACAGACCCTAGCATTCTTGTGTGTGATGAATGTTGAGTGAAGAACTGACAGCACAGAATGTTTCCGTAAGTGCTTCATCAACTTCAGCAGCCAGCAAAGAGTTCCAGTTCTGCTGATATTAGTAGCAGTTTAATTATATATGTGTTTTGTATTTTCTTTGAGTGTAGAATGTTCACCAGAACCCCTGATCACTCCTAGCTGTACCATTCTATTCTCTGAGTGTAGAATGTTGACCAGATCCCCTGGTCACTCCTAGCTGTACCATTCTATTCTCTGAATGTAGAATGTTGACCAGATCCCCTAGTCACTCCTAGCTGTACCATTATATTCTCTGAGAGCAGAATGTTGACCAGAACCCCTGGTCCCTCCTAGCTGTACCATTCTATTCTTTGAGTTTAGAATGTTGACCAGATCCCCTGGTCCCTCCTAGCTGTACCATTCTATTCTCTGAATGTAGAATGTTGACCAGATCCCCTAGTCACTCCTAGCTGTACCATTATATTCTCTGAGAGCAGAATGTTGACCAGATCCCCTGGTCACTCCTAGCTGTACCATTCTATCCTGTCAGTGTAGAATGTTGACCAGATCCTCTGGTCCCTCCTAGCTGTACCATTCTATCCTTTGAGTGTAGAATGTTGACCAGATCCCCTGGTCCCTCCTAGCTGTACTATTCTATTCTTTGAGTGTAGAATGTTGACCAGAACCCCTGGTCCCTCCTAGCTGTACCATTCTATTCTTTGAGTTTAGAATGTTGACCAGATCCCCTGGTCCCTCCTAGCTGTACCATTCTATCCTTTGAGTGTAGAATGTTGACCAGATCCCCTGGTCCCTCCTAGCTGCACTATTCTATTCTCTGAATGTAGAATGTTGACCAGATCCCCTGGTCCCTCCTAGCTGTACCATTCTATTCTTTGAGTGTAGAATGTTGACCAGATCCCCTGGTCACTCCTAGCTGTACCATTCTATCCTGTCAGTGTAGAATGTTGACCAGATCCTCTGGTCCCTCCTAGCTGTACCATTCTATCCTTTGAGTGTAGAATGTTGACCAGATCCCCTGGTCACTCCTAGCTGTACCATTCTATTCTCTGAGTGTAGAATGTTGACCAGATCCCCTGGTCCCTCCTAGCTGCACTATTCTATTCTCTGAATGTAGAATGTTGACCAGATCCCCTGGTCCCTCCTAGCTGTACCATTCTATTCTTTGAGTGTAGAATGTTGACCAGATCCCCTGGTCACTCCTAGCTGTACCATTCTATCCTGTCAGTGTAGAATGTTGACCAGATCCTCTGGTCCCTCCTAGCTGTACCATTCTATCCTTTGAGTGTAGAATGTTGACCAGATCCCCTGGTCCCTCCTAGCTGTACCATTCTATTCTTTGAGTGTAGAATGTTGACCAGATCCCCTGGTCACTCCTAGCTGTACCATTCTATCCTGTCAGTGTAGAATGTTGACCAGATCCTCTGGTCCCTCCTAGCTGTACCATTATATCCTTTGAGTGTAGAATGTTGACCAGATCCCCTGGTCCCTCCCAGCTGTACCATTCTATTCTTTGAGTGTAGAATGTTGACCAGATCCCCTGGTCCCTCCTAGCTGTACCATTCTATTCTCTGAATGTAGAATGTTGACCAGATCCCCTGGTCACTCCTAGCTGTACCATTCTATTCTCTGAGTGTAGAATGTTGACCAGATCCCCTGGTCCCTCCTAGCTGCACTATTCTATTCTCTGAATGTAGAATGTTGACCAGATCCCCTGGTCCCTCCTAGCTGTACCATTCTATTCTTTGAGTGTAGAATGTTGACCAGATCCCCTGGTCACTCCTAGCTGTACCACTCTATCCTTTGAGTGTAGAATGTTGAGCTCCTAGCTGTACTATTCTATCCTTTGAGTGTAGAATGTTGACCAGATCCCCTGGTCACTCCTAGATGTACCATTCTATTCTTTGAGTGTAGAATGTTGACCAGATCCCCTGGTCACTCCTAGATGTACCATTCTATTCTTTGAGTGTAGAATGTTGACCAGATCCCCTGGTCACTCCTAGATGTACCATTCTATTCTTTGAGTGTAGAATGTTGACCAGATCCTCTGGTCACTCCTAGATGTACCATTCTCTCCAGAACATAATGATTTTGCCTCCTTACTGTTCACTTGCTCCCCAAAGGGCCTTGACCACATCTAACATGTCATGTATAAATTCACCACCTAGTGGTGCAGAACCAGCTAATCAATCTGCCTGTTCATCTCCCAACACTTATGCATGACCCAGACAAAAATATCCAAATAAGGCTAACTACTTGGAACCTTGAAAGTGATGCTTGCTACTTGCATGCTGCATGAAGCAGGCCTGTCTCCACTTTCTTAAAAATATGCTTTGCTAGTGGGTTACAATCACAACGCATGAATGGAGCTGGTTCTCAAACTGCTGTGACTTGCGTGATGTGACAATTTAGGCCAGTCCTAAAACAGATGCTGCCACTAGGGTGTGAAATGTTAGGCCTTCACTCTTTTGGGGATTGAACCCAGACCACTGTCTTTGCAGGCAAATATGTGACACAGTGCTTCTATTTGGAGCCTTACAAATTCTACCATTATCTACCTCTATTTTATTAACTAATCTAGAATCTTCTTCTTCTTATTCTTCTGCATTTGCCATGAAAAGGGTGCCTGGCACGCTATTTAGAGGTTTACAGCTAGGCTTTCTGTGCCTTTTGGCCCAACAGGTTCCATTTCAGCTAATTCCTAAGTGGTCGCCTTTTACAACTTGCTTGCTAGGAGATTATCCACACCAAAATGGGGCCTTGGAATCCACACACGGAAATCTGGGATCTTATTTCATTAACAGATGTACAGGCTAGTATTGAAAAAGTTAATAAAACTAACTAGTTGGCTGCTGAATTCAGATTAACAGTCAATGGATGAATTTTGTGGTAACTATGGATTCATATTGTCAGGAAAGAGCAAAATGCTGTAAATGTGTATTATTTAGGTACTTTAATTGAAATTAATATAGTAACCTTCCCCATTAACTGATTCAGTTCTAAAAGGAGACAACCAAAACAAAAACTAAGAGAAGAAAAGACAGAAGGATGTTTTAACAGTGTCAAGAAAATGCAACAGAACAATTACAAATTACTACCTAACCCAACATCAGCCTCCTGAATCATGCTGACATCATTGGCTCCATCTCCAATGGCTGCTGTTACAGGTCTTTCTGGTGAATTTTTAATCATAGCAACCACCTGAGGACAGAATGTATCACATCTATGATGAAAAGTCGTACCATTTTGTGAAACAATCTACAGTTGAACAGCGGCTGGCTGAATGGTTAAGAACACTGGGCTCTGATGCTGGAGACCCAGGTTCAAATTCTTGGTAAGGTTATGAGTTTTTCTGTTGGGGAAAACCTAATCTTCACAGTCCTTGGCTACAGCTCTACCCACGCAGCCATTATTTCTCACTGCCTACGCTACACAAATGGTAAATACAGGCGGTAATGGCAGTTTTTTCAAATCAACAGTCTGGCAAAATTCTGAATATTAAATGGCTACAATGATTCTTTGCTGAAGTCTGCTGACACTTTTGAGAAGTTATTATTGTCACTTCAACTCAGTCTATCATAGCATCTTTATACTTTAGAATAACAATCTCTGGGTTTCATCATCATCATCTGCCATGTCAATGAGCATTGGCTGTCATGATTCACCACCTCACAGGATTGATAGAACCATGAATCAGATTAGGACTCTTGTCCCTCTCAGTTTGCAAGCCATCAAGGCACTTATCACTTTGCTGTCTCCTTGCTCTCTTTTCATCAATACTGCAAGCTTCACAAACTTTTCAAGTCTGTTCTTTCTCATAACATGTGCCCACTGACTGTCTAATCACTGTCATGGTGAAGCTTCAATGTGCAGGACACTGTCTAATCACTGTCATGGTGAAGCTTCAATGTGCAGGACACTGTCTAATCACTGTCACGGTGAAGCTTCAATGTGCAGGACACTGTCTAATCACTGTCATGGTGAAGCTTCAATGTGCAGGACACTGTCTAATCACTGTCATGGTGAAGCTTCAATGTGCAGGACACTGTCTAATCACTGTCATGGTGAAGCTTCAATGTGCAGGACAGTTAGAGGAAGAGAAGCAGGGAGATACCAAGAATGTATTAGATGGTTTGGCATGTGACCTGTAGGAATTTCTATTTTTTTTTTTTTTAAATGTACTGGTAAGACACCAGACAGAAGGATGTCAAATGACATGATATGAAACACCACAGAGAATGAACTATAAGAAGATATTTGGAATGACAATTAACTGTAACATTCTTCCGCAGACGTTTATAGACTATTTTTGTTGCAGTCTTATTAACTTCTAAAAGGGTCTTTAAATGCAAATAACTGATTATATCAAATGACAACAAAAAGGTTGGAAGGGAAGGGAGGCAAAGGGAGACTATAAAAGATAAAATTGGTTTTCACTTCATTTCGTAAAGGAACACCTGTATTACATCATATCATATCTAAATTGTAATCATATCTATATTTTAACATAATACCTAAATTTCAACAATATGTCTATGTTTCAATGTCACATCTACATTTCGACATCAGGTCTATATTTTGAAGGCAAGCTTATATTTTAACGTTATGTCTACATTTTAACCTCACATCTATATTTGAACATTACGTCTATATTGTAACAAAACGGGACATCCCCCTATTTTGAGCTGAAAATGGGTGGACAAGAAGAATACTGCAAATATACTGGGTGGACAAGAAAAATATTATGAATATACTGGGTGGACAAGAAAAATATTGTGAATATACTGGGTGGACAAGAAAAATATTGTGAATATACTGGGTGGACAAGAAAAATATTGTGAATATACTTGGTGGACAAGAAAAATATTGTGAATATACTTGGTGGACAAAGGTAATATTGCGAATATACTTGGAGGACAAGAAGAATATTGCAAAATTTACTGAGTGGACAAGAAAAATATTGTGAATATACTGGTGGACAAAAATAATACTGCAAAAATACTGGGTGGACAAGAGGAATACTGCGAATATACTCATTCCTAGAGTTTTTGTGGTGAGTACTCAGGGGATGGGTGGGAATACATAGAAAAAAAAATGGGAAAGTCAGAGTTAAAATGGAACATATCGTTAGCCTGGGTCGGTGATGTCACATCAAGCTGATTATGTCAGCGACTTGGCCTATCTGGAAAAGGCGTTAAATACAACCTGGAACAATGAAGTTGATTCTCTCTACCTGTAACCCTGAACTCTTTCAGACCAAACAACTCCTGATAAATTTCCTAGTGTTTTAAAAGAGACTAAGATAAGCTTGCTTTCCTTTATCACAAACAGATATTATATTAACCCTCTAATGTGAATTATTTTAGTTCAATTACTTCCTCCCCACAGCGTCTCTAATCAAATTCTTTCTTCAGACCTAAGTATGTGTTTCGTCTGAGCTCAGCTCCTTGGATAGAAGGAGTCGAAGCAACAGCTGCTTGCAGTAGAAAGAGTTAAACACCTAAACTGGAAGCAACTGGCAGTACACAAAACAGGAGACTGGACAGACATGGCAGTACACAAAACAGGAGACTGGACAGAGGTGGCAGTACAGGAAACAGGAGACTGGACAGACATGGCAGCACAGGAAACAGGAGACTGGACAGACATGGCAGCACAGGAAACAGGAGACTGGACAGACATGGCAGCACAGGAAACAGGAGAATAGACAGACATGGCAGCACAGGAAACAGGAGACTGGATAGACATGGCAGCACAGGAAACAGGAGACTGGACAGACATGGCAGTACACAAATTAGCAGACTGGACAGACATAAGACGAACACCATATGGCATGGGCTAGAAAATGAAAATAATAAAAACAACCAATAAACCAACAGAACTGAAAAGTCTAGACAACATGCATGCTGCCTACTTCTGCTTTCTGTATTGGGGACATTCTACAGCAAAGCACAGTTGCACATCTAGAACACAGCTGACGCAGCATCTCCTTGTAACTCTTCATTGCATAGGCAAGACTCTGGCCATCAATAATTAGCGCAAAGTCCACACTTTGACCTGGAGTGCTGGTTCTTGACAAATGAATGGACAATAATTTTTCAGATCAAAATTGTAGTTATAGAGTGAAACAATGAAGGTAGCAACAGTGATATACACCATTTTCACTTTAAAACTGGACTATTTTCAAACCATCTGGAAATTTTTTCAAACCACCCAGGAATTTTTTTTAATCAAACTGGATGATCTTCAAACCAACTAAAATGTTTTTAAAACCAAACTAGATGTTTTTCAAACTAATTTGGACATTTAAAAAATTAAACTGAATTATTTTTCAAACCATGTTTTTTAAATCAAATTGAATATTTTTCAAATCAAACTCAGCATAATTTGTTTTAACACCAAAATTCATGGACATGCTGGAACTCTTGAGAAGCTCTAGACCAAAAATTACCAAATTCCTTCTAGAAAGTTCTTCAACAATGTCTATAGGTAGGCAAATATGGCAAACAGATGAGCAAATGGGAATTTAGAAGAAATGTACACAACACTTTTGTGGATTTTAAAAAGGCATATGAGAGTGTTTTTAAAAAACAGTCTATGGAATGCTATGAAGGACTTTGGGATACCAAAGAAGTTAATCACCATGACCAAACAATGTATGGAAGACACTTATAATACAGTAACATTCAAAGGTAGCAAATCTGACCCTTTTCAAATAACATATGGTATAAAGCAAGGTGATGCTTTGTCACAATTCTTTTCAACTTGGCCAGGAGAAAATTATAAGACAATTGAAAGATGAGTGTACTATAGGAGAATCTACAAGAATACTTGGATATGCAGATGACGCTGATATTATTGGAGAACATGAACAAGAGACTGTAAAAACACATGTGGTTCACCCAGCCTCTAGGAAATGGGTACCAGAGATGACACTCTGGGGTAAACGGAGGAACGTCGGTGCAGCTACGGAGTTACGCGCAGATGGCGACACAGGCGGACAGTTTCTTATCAGCTGTCTGTACTGGTGACAGAGCACTTATGGTTTATAACCGTGTGCAATGACGCTGGTTTACATCTTCTGACTTTACCTTTTTTTTTTCATCTTACTCCTAAATGCTAAACCTGGTGGAAAATGTGTTCTCAAAATCTGATTGTAACTCTATTATCACTTGCTTTTTTTTTTTAAAAAACTGCTTATGTGTTAAGTCAAAATGCGCCAACCTGTTGATTAATAAGTATTAATTGTTGGGTTTAAATAAATCTGTGTCAATTCTGCTTTGAAAAATGTCCTGAGTGATTAGAAAATAATCTGGTTTGGTTTGAAAATGTCCTTTGTGGTTTAAAAATCATCTAGTTTGATTTTTAAAATGTCCTAGGTAGTTTGAAAATTGTCCTGATTGATTTGAAAAATGTCCAGTTTAAAGTGAAAATGGTTTGTATATAATTACCATCAACAAGTGCCATGAAAAGCTGAAGTTTCACAGTCAGTGGTTAGATGCTTGCCTGTTGGCCCAATTTGGGTAAAGGTTGCAATGCGGGCAATTTTTTTAAAGGATGACCTTCACTCTTAGGCTGATCCAGCTGGAAATGGGTTCTAGGTAATATTCTGGGAAGTAAAGGTGGCCACTGTAATGTCGACCATATCAAGCATCAAATACAGAGTCTATAAAATATATGGGTCTTGTATCATGTGTCCAATGTGCCACTGGTATAAGCGGGAATTTACCCAGACAAAATAAACATAAATGTTTTCAGGATTTTGATTCTGAGTTGTCTGCTGACATTCCACCATCAGCTCATTATGCTGTTTAACATGAGCATTGCTAAAGTAAGTCTTTTTTATTTCCTGTGAGCAATCTCTATTGTTGTTAATTACTGAGCCAACATATCTAAAGTCTGTGAAAAACATTTTTTTTTAATCATTAACTGTGATTTTTGGCAGGTGAAACCAGAAAAACCTTCATGGCAACTTATGGATGTCAGTCATGGACTGTCAGTCTTTAAAGAAGAAAATCAGAGATTTTGAACAGAAATGCTACAGAAAGGTTCTCAGAATACCCTGGACCAAGAAGAAAACCATCGACATACTGCATGAGCTAAACATCAAGAAGAACAGGCTTGTAAACAGCATCCTCATCTGAAAGGTGGGGTATTTTAGACAAGACAAGCGCCAGGTTGGTCTGGAGATAACTGTGATGGAGGGTACAGTTTTGGTGAAGGTGAATCAAGGACAGTGATGATACCAGAACATACAAGCACTGATGACAACAGAGGATACTTATATTTGTATACACAGAAACAACAATAGATATGCAAATACAGAAACAGAAATAGAAGATGTGTGTGTGTGTGCAATGATAGTACTCACACAAAGAAATAGCTGAAGATATGTATACAGTGATAGTACTCACACAAAGAAACAACAGATAATATGTGTATACAGTGATTTTACCCACACACAAAAAACAGCAGAAGCTGTGTAAACAGTGATAGTACCCACACAAAGAAATGACAGAAGATATATGTAAACAGTGATAGTACCCACACAAAGAAATGACAGAAGATACATGTAAACAGTGATAGTACCCACACAAAGAAATGACAGAAGATACATGTAAACAGTGATAGTACCCACACAAAGAAATGACAGAAGATACATGTAAACAGTGATAGTACCCACACAAAGAAATGACAGAAGATACATGTAAACAGTGATAGTACCCACACAAAGAAATGACAGAAGATATATGTAAACAGTGATAGTACCCACACAAAGAAATGACAGAAGATACATGTAAACAGTGATAGTACCCACACAAAGAAACAGCAGAAGATAAATGTATACAGTGATAGTACCGGCACAGACACATAGCAGAAGATATGTATTCAGTGATAGTACCGGCACAAAGACACAGCAGAAGATAAATGTATATAGTGAAAGTACTGGCACAGACACATAGCAGAAGATATGTATACAGCGATAGTACCCACAAAAAGACACAGCAGAAGATAAATGTATACAGCGATAGTACCCGCACAAAGAAACAGCAGAAGATAAATGTATACCACGATAGTACCCACACAAAGAAACAGCAGAAGATAAATGTATACAGAGATAGTACCCGCACAAAGAAACAGCAGAAGATAAATACATACAGCGATAGTACCTGCACAAAGAAACAGCAGAAGATAGATGTATGCAGCGATAGTACTCGCAGAGACACACAGCAGAAGATAAATGTATAAATGATAGCACATACAAAAAGAAACAGCAGATGATATATGCATACAGTGATAGTATCCTCATATTAAACCAGCAAAAGACATACAGGTATACAAGCAGCAGTAGACAACCTACTGAGACATTAGCTCCTGCATCTGTGGCTCACAATCCTCCTCATTGGCCACACGGGTCAGTCGCAGCTCATGCATGTCACTGGTGAAGTGTCCAGCAGCATGGCTGATGTTGACCGCTGTCTCCTCCTTGTCACCTGTCAGTACCCACACCTGAGAATGCAGAAAACCTGTTCTTACTAAATGATTCATACCAAACTGGAAACCACATGGTAAATGAATAAAGGCACACACAAAAAATGAAGAGGGAACAAGAGACTGAAGTAAAGATGAAAGGGGAGGGAGAAACAAGAAGTGACCTGTGTGTAAGAGCAAAGCATAGGATGACTTGGCATGAGTTGGCTGGAGGTCTATGCTAAATTTAGGGATAAATGGTTAAAGAATAAAAAAAGAAAAATATGAATAATAATCATGGTGATAATATAATAAAATAATAATAAGCAGCAGTAGAAAAAAAAGAAGACGAAGAATAAGAAGAAGATTAATATCACCTAATACATGAACACTTGGTAAAAAAAAAATAATGCAACAGGATGTGCTGATATAAAAAGTAATAAATGTACTTCTTTCAACCAATTGAAAGAAACAAGCCTTTATCTGCAATGTTGTCTTTTCTATGAGAGTCAGTCTTTTTTAGTTCATCAATGGTCTATGGATTTCTGTTTCCAGTGGTTATTCTAAACCAAATGGTTTACCATTGTGTGTCATATTCAGACCAGTCTCAGAGTGTTTTCTACTGTCTGGGACATCATTTCATAATTGCACATGACTGCTGTTTCAATTTTAAGTGTTGTATACATATGGCTGTGTAACTGATTGCATCCTGTTCAGAAGTGCTGGCAGCTTGTCTAGGAAGGAAGCGCTGACAGGTGGATACAGCACTGCTCTTCTGACCCTGCAGCTTCTGTTCTAAACGTACTAGTGCAGCACAATATACCACTATTGTCTGGAAAGACCAAAAGTTGCCAGCAACAGTTCTGAGGTGCAGGATAACAATTTATTCTTGACTAAACATGAAATGATATCTTGTGGTGAAACTGGGGACTTTGTGACTGGTGATTTGATAATTCTTTCATCTTTTCTTTTGATGGGAGGTGATTGGGGATGATTTACATCATAGAAGACAGATAATGTTTAATTTACCAACGAAATTAATAGTTGCATTAATCAAGCTTTCACACATAAATGGTACCTTAATGCCAGCCATTCTCAGGGCCTCGATCGTCTGAGGTACCTGATCCTGCAGTTTGTCTTCTACAGCAGTTGCTCCTAGAAGTGTCAGTTGCTGTTCTATTTCATTGTACACTTCAGCCAACTGGAGTGAAAGTCAACAGTAAAAACATGAAGAACAACTAGTATCTTGTGTTAGGGAAAACATAATGGCACAGTGTGCGTAACTGTACAGTAAATGGGATAACAAACAATTTACAAGCACCACAACAAAATAAATTTCAAATTATTTTTCGACACTTTCTTCTTTAAATACCTTGCTGACTTGGCAAAAGCAACCATTTTCTCAGCAACAGCACACACAAAATGTTTTTTTCCTTATGGTCAATGCTGTGTGGCACTGGTAATAATTAGGGCTGTACCGAATATTCGCTTCGTATTCGCTTCGGGGCCGAATAGTGGACCTATTGACTATTCGGTATCGTCCGAATAGTTGCGGTCGGGCCGAATACTAATAGTAGTTACCTTACACCCGCTTCTGCATACACGTCCTTAAAGCTGACAACATGGAACGATTGGTTTTGTTGAAAGCTAATGCAGCTTTCCTACATTAACTAAGCTGTCAGTGACAATTTCCAAGTTTAGTTACTTGTTATAATACTCAGGATTCTTTCATTCCTAGTTATTAGTTACCACAGACTGACTGAGGGATGCAAAACATTAAATGTTTTTAAATGTTTACTATTCTGTACGAATCCTAACTAGACATGGAAAGAATATAAACTCCGACCACATCCAAGTCGATAAAATGAAAATCAAACGAACAGAAACACATAAGTACTTGGGTGCAAACTTCAACTGCTCCAACATGCTGAGAGAAGTAATACAATCTAGAATACAATCTAGAAATAAAGTATACTATGCTTTTCAACATCTGCTAAAGTCAAAGTGTCTGGCAACACCAAGATCAAAATATTTAAAACATTGATTGATAAGACCAGTCGTTTAAATGGCTGTGAAACTTGAAGCAGAAATAAAAGAGATGAGGCCTTATTACATGTTTTCTAAAACAGTCTTTCGACAAATCTTTGGACCGATCAAAGATGCTAACAGCGGGGAATGGCGAGTGAGAAGCAACAGTGTAACACATAATATGTTTAAATCACCACTGATCACTGGCATCATGAGAGCTAACAGACTAAACTGGTTGGGGCATACTGAAAGAATGTCAGATGACAGAGAAGTAAAAACTGTATACACCTGAGAGAGGATGGGCGTAGACCATAAGGCAGACAAAAAAAAAAGAAGTTCGAGAGACAATGTCCAGCCAGACCTGCAAACAGCTGGTATCACAAATTGTGAAGATAAGGCCAGCCAGAGAGATGAATGGAGACGAGTGATAGCTGCAGCAGTAAACCTCAAGGGCTCAGAATGCTAAAGAAGAAGATGACTATTCTGTGCTTCTTTATGTGAAGTAAAAGTTCAGCGTACATTTGACATTGTAAATGTTTTGTTTTTTAAAAATATATTTTATATACTATACACTATTTGTATTCGTATTCGGTGGAATAGTTGGTCCCGTATTCAAAATCACTATTCGGTACAGCCCTAGTTTAAATTACATCGAACAAACGGCCGAGCGAACGATATTTTTGAAAGAAGTGGGAGTGGTGACCACTGGAAAGATCTGTGGAAGGAGGGATTGAGGAAGACAACAATAGAAGATTCTTGACAGTCTTTTTGCATGGCATGGAGGTGTGTCAGCAGGAGATCACAGATTATGGCGGGGCATAATCACCCACACCGGTCGGCAAGGCACCTGATGATGATGATATACTATTCGTATTCAGCCGAATAGTAAAAATCACTATTCGGTACAGCCCTAGTAATAATATCCATCCGCAGCCCTCTGTCTCAAGTCTATCCCCCAGTGGGACACCGGCCCTCACCTAGCTCATGCCAGGTCATTCTATCCTTTGCTATTGCAAGCAGCTCTCCCCATCTCTTCTCCATCTTTGAAACTCCACTCTCTAGCTTCCTTCTCCATGTGTTTTTTGGTCTTCCTTATTTATATGCCCTTCTAGGTTCCAATGCAAAGACATGCTATTTATACTGTTCTCAGGTATTCTCAACATGTGTCCCATCCATCACCAGCGTCTGTGCTTCACCTATTGGTCCACCCGAACTTGTTTAGTTCTCTACCAAAGCTCTGCATTAATGATTCCATCAAAGCAATTGCTTCCCTCTATTCTATGGAGACACCAGTTAATGAATGTTTGTAGTTTTTTAGTTATTGCTTTAGCTGTTCTCCATGTTTCGCTCCATACAACAGTACTGATTTGACACCAGAATAACACATTTTCAAGTCTGGTGTACTTACAATAATTTCTTATACAGATGCTCTTCTATGCCTAAAGACAAACCTAAATAATATGTTTACAAAACATTTCTGAAGCATCATCAAGAGAAGCACCTGACGATACTAAATAAACATCACCACATAGAGTGTAATGGTAAGCTCTCCTCTCCCCTCTCTATGCTCATTAACTAGCAAGGTGTACAGGACCAATACTAAAACTGAGCATGCAGTCAACAGACAGGGCTAACTGTGAAAGAATAACCAAAAGCCTCAGCAAGTGTTAGATCATGTGAGACCTAGTCTTGCTTGCACAGCCGCCCTCGCCAAGAGGCTGGCTTCATCTTCTTACAGTTCATGCTCTGTGGTATTAGTCATCTCATAGTTCACAGTCTTCTGGCCCACGACAAGAGACTGGCTTCATCTTCTTACAGTTCATGCTCTGTGGTATTAGTCATCTCATAGTTCACAGCCTTCTGGCCCACGACAAGAGACTGGCTTCATCTTCGTACAGTTCATGCTTTGTGGTAATAGTCATCTCATAGTTCACAGTCTTCTGGCCCTCGACAAGAGACTGGCTTCATCTTCTTACAGTTCATGCTTTGTGGTAATAGTCATCTCATAATTCACAGTCTTCTGGCCCTCGACAAGAGACTGGCTTCATCTTCTTACAGTTCATGCTTTGTGGTATTAGTCATCTCATCGTTCACAGTCCTCTGGCCCACGACAAGAGACGCTTCATCTTCTTACAGTTCATGCTCTGTGGTATTAGTCATCTCATAGTTCACAGTCTTCTGGCCCTCGACAAGAGACTGGCTTCATCTTCTTACAGTTCATGCTCTGTGGTATTAGTCATCTCATAGTTCACAGCCTTCTGGCCCTCGACAAGAGACTGGCTTCATCTTCTTACAGTTCATGCTCTGTGGTATTAGTCATCTCATAGTTCACAGCCTTCTGGCCCACGACAAGAGACTGGCTTCATCTTCTTACAGTTCATGCTCTGTGGTATTAGTCATCTCATAGTTCACAGCCTTCTGGCCCATGACAAGAGACTGGCTTCCTCTTCTTACAGTTCATGTTCTGTGGTAATAGTCATCTCACAGTTCACAGCCTTCTGGCCTATGACAAGAGGCTGGCTTCATCTTCTTACAGTTCATGCTCTGTGGTATCAGTCATCTCATAGTTCAGTCTTCTGGCCCCTGACAAGAGACTGGCTTCATCTTCTTACAGTTCCTGCTCTGTAGTATTAGTCATCTCATAGTTCACAGTCTTCTGGCCCTCGACAAGAGACTGGCTTTATCTTCTTACAGTTCATGTTCTGTGGTAATAGTCATCTCACAGTTCACAGCCTTCTGGCCTATGACAAGAGGCTGGCTTCATCTTCTTACAGTTCATGTTCTGTGGTATTAGTCATCTCATAGTTCACAGTCTTCTGGCCCACGACAAGAGGCTGGCTTCATCTTCTTACAGTTCATGCTTTGTGGTAATAGTCATCTCACAGTTCACAGCCTTCTGGCCTATGACAAGAGGCTGGCTTCATCTTCTTCCAGTTCATGCTCTGTGGTATTAGTCATCTCACAGTTCACAGCCTTCTGCCTTGAGTACTGTCCATAATTTCTAACACACATGTTCTTGGATGCTAGCATGCCAACTATCCAACATCGGCTCTCTTTGTTTCTCTGTGCCTTTTATAGCATTTAACTTTCCTGTTGTAACCTCATTAACATGTGTTGTATTTTAAAATTATTATTTCACTGGATAATATGCCATCTTCATTTGTTTCCCTGTGCTTGGCGTACTTGCTTGTTGAGATAATGGTCGAAATTTGAATTCACAGATTTGATTGGCTCCTTTCAGTCTTTCCAGCCAATAGTGTTATATTGCGCTATGAGGAGACATTGGACTCACAGCCCATGGCGATGGCGAGCATGACTAGCAAGACCCGCCCACTTTAAGAAAAGTCTTCCACAGTTATAGCATGGAATTTCAGGACCACTGTTGTCTACATTTGTGTTTGGTCTCTTTCTTCTCAGATGCCAACTTTCATTCTTTCTGCAATCATTTCTTCCTTTATTCTCATTCCCTTCCTGATGTGTTCCCTCCAAACAACGTGGTCCATGGCATTTTGTTCCCATGAAACCACCTCAGTACCTGTATCAGTCATGTAATGTAATGAATTAACTGAAGTCACATAATTTATGCAAAATTTAAAAATACAAAAATGTATAAACAATAACATAAATGCCCCAACCTGTTCATCTCTTGAACCCAAAGACCTCCTGGCTTCTGTTAACATTTTATCATACTGCCCGTACTTGTCTGGGGAGAGCTTCCTTTGAGCAATGGTCAGAGTCCTCAGTCCCAGCTGTAACACAGTCATAGTTGTGTGAGTGTCCCAGTATAGTTCACAGAGACATCAACAATGATCATGGAAATGATAGGAATAGTGAGATCAATGTCAACTGAATCCCCCTGCTTTCATACACAAAGGCACTGGATTCACTCTAATATACAATGGCATTGGATTCACTCTAATATACAATGGCACTGAATTCACTCTAATGTACAATGGCACTGAATTAACTCTAATACACAAAGGCACTGGATTCACTCTAATATACAATGGCACTGAATTCACTCTAATGTACAATGGCACTGAATTCACTCTAATGTACAATGGCACTGAATTCACTCTAATATACAATGGCACTGAATTCACTCTAATATACAATGGCATTGAATTCACTCTAATATACAATGGCACTGAATTCACTCTAATATACAATGGCACTGAATTCACTCTAATACACAAAGGCACTGGATTCACTCTAATATACAATGGCATTGAATTCACTCTAATATACAATGACACTGAATTCACTCTAATATACAATGGCACTGAATTAACTCTAATACACAAAGGCACTGGATTCACTCTAATATACAATGGCACTGAATTCACTCTAATGTACAATGGCACTGAATTCACTCTAATGTACAATGGCACTGAATTCACTCTAATATACAATGGCACTGAATTCACTCTAATATACAATGGCATTGAATTCACTCTAATATACAATGGCACTGAATTCACTCTAATATACAATGGCACTGAATTCACTCTAATATACAATGGCACTGAATTCACTCTAATATACAATGGCACTGAATTCACTCTAATATACAATGGCACTGAATTCACTCTAATATACAATGGCATTGAATTCACTCTAATATACAATGGCACTGAATTCACTCTAATATACAATGGCACTGAATTCACTCTAATGTACAATGGCACTGAATTCACTCTAATGTACAATGGCACTGAATTCACTCTAATATACAATGGCATTGAATTCACTCTAATATACAATGGCACTGAATTCACTCTAATATTCAATGGCACTGCATCCACTCCAATGCACAATGGCACTAGATTCACTCCAATGTTACAATTGCACTAGATTCACTCCAATGTTACAATTGCACTAGATTCACTCCAATGTAATAGCACTGGATTCACTCCAATGTACAATGGCACTGGATTCACTCCAATGTACAATGGCACTGGATTTACTCCAATGCATAATGGCACTGGATTCATGCTGGATTCACTCCAATGTACAATGGCACTGGATTCAATCCAGTGTTTGATGGCACTGGATCCACTCCACTGTACAATGGCACTGGATTCAATCCAGTGTTCGGTGGCACTGGATCCCCTCCACTGTACAATGTCACTGGATTCACTCCAATGCACAATGGCCAGGAATCACCTTTGTGTAATGAACAATGTCACTGAAATCACACTGCTAGGATGCACAATGACACTGAAATCACACTGCTAGGATGCACAATGACACTGAAATCACACTGCTAGGATGCACAATGACATGAAATCACACTGCTAGGATGCACAATGACATGAAATCACACTGCTAGGATGCACAATGACATGAAATCACACTGCTAGGATACACAATGACATGAAATCACACTGCTAGGATGCACAATGACACTGAAATCACACTGCTAGGATGTACAATGACTCTAGACTAGCTAGGATGTAAAACGGCCCTAGAATCACTCAGCTTTAAGATAAAAAAAAAATCAGATTATCAGCATTCTAATATTTTTAATCACTTCGCTTTGTAAACAACAACAAAAAAATGACCTTTTTAAAAAAAATGGCTAAAAAGAAATGCATTTTTATCATTCTTGGAAACTCTTTAAAAAAAACTAGAGGAAGAAAAGAAGCAGAAGACGTTTGGAGTCTTGGTCAGTTTTTATAAAAATGCAGGCATCTGAAATCTATGCCCACTGAGCAGACAGGCAAGCCTGCTAGTCACAGTCCTCAGATTTTTTCATATTTAGCACAAATGTGATTTTCTTTGTATATGAAAGGATTTACTGCACACTAAATACAAACAGGGGTGGGGTTTTGTTGACAAAGCCACAGAGATAAAGGTGATGACATCATCAGTTTATGATGTCACTATGACTGTAATGATGCAGGTCTAGAGATTATGGGTCAAGGTCAGGATATTCCCTAATCTGTATAATCTATAAGTAGAGAGACAGTCAAAAAACAAACAGAATGATTGACACACAGTTTAGTGAATTTATAAGAAAGTGAAGAAACACGAGAATTAATAGAATGAATGACACTGTAAGGAAATGAAAGATGCTAAACACAAAGATAAAAGGTAAGACATATCTTTATATACTGTTTAAAAAAGAGAAACGGATAGTTATCTCCTAGCGCGTTTTTATTAGTTTGTAAATAAAATATCAAACTCAGGTATGTGAAAAGCAGACTCAAATGTTGTTTACCGTTTCCAGTGGACGTGTGGGCGTGAATTGTGTGGGGTTTTTGTAATCGTTACAATGAAGTGGTCAACTGCGTTTAAGACTTTGGCGCCGATTCCAAACCGCTGGGTCAGTTGAAGACCGAAATCGCAGTGGACGACCCAGAGTGGCAACAGCAGTGGAGAATTGCTTTATTTGGCTTTGTCACCTTAGAGACAGGTTACAACAGCTTCCTCAACTGCGCCGGCATTGCCTCCAGGACGTCGCGTGTCCTTACGCATCACCACCGCCAAAATAAACTTTTTTGGGCCAACCGACATCATCCCTGGGCAGGTGACAATCAATGGAGACGTGTCTGGTTCAGTGACGAATCTTTCTGTTTTTTGCTATGATAGACAGTGTAGGGTTTACTGTATGCGAAATGAAGGTTTGGCCCAAATTGTGTTGATGAAGCTCTGCTGCACAGTGGTTGAGGTGTAATAGTGTGGGGAGCAATCAGTTATAATGAAAGGATTCGATTGATGCACATTAAAGAAAGCTTGAATGCGCTACAATACGTCAATGAAATTCTTCGACCACATGTCCCTCTATTTTGGGATGCCAACAGATATCTTTTTTGATAGGACAATGCCAGACTCCATTCTGCACGGTTGATCACGCAGTTCCTAGCTGCCAATAACATTCAAACCCTTCCCTGCCCATTCCTGTCTGCAGACATGAGTCCGACTGAGCACATGTGGGATGAGCTGCAAAGATATGATGTCACCGAGATATTGCTCCAGCCAATTGTCGTGATCTGTTCCAGGCACTCCAGGAAGAGTGGGCAGCCATCCCACAAGCCCACATCAGACATCTGATCACATTCATGCCCAGGAGATGCCCGTCACTGATCCACGCTAGATAAGGCCATACTAATAGGAAAGGCCGCTCACCTACAAATTATCATTACCCAGATGCAAAAAAAAAATTTATGTCAATTTTTTGGCAGAAGCCTAAGGTATTCTTGTGTGAAATTTGACTAAAATGCACTTACTGCATTACAAAGATGCAGAATGTCAAAATTGTGAGTATGTATGTTCTTTTCAGTAGCTATGCGTTTATTCTTTTTTTTTTTGGGGGGGGGGGGGGGGGGGGGGGGGAGGACAGAATATATATATATATATATATATATATCAATCATTGTATTCAAACTATTACTGGTAGCATCAGAACTGGACCATGTTGACTGCTGAAGACAGGATAGTGTGCTTATGGAAATGTTCTGAGTGCCGTGATGTTTTTCCTCAACTCAAGTGGGCACAAGCTACTGTTACTGTTTTTATAATCTGTCTAAAAGTATCACTGGAGTGACATGTCACAGCTATAACTAAAGAACTCAATTACCGCAGCGTATTCGTTGATGAGATTCTGTGTCTTCAAAATGTCCCCTGTCACTATTCTGTCCAGTATAGCTATCTCAGCTCCCTTACACAGCAACACATACTCTCCTGTAAACAAAACATGGGAACCAATCTGAACTAACTACACAGAAACATATAAAATCACATAGTCAAAACAAGAAAACAAACCTTGACTAACTATAGCAAGCATATATTATCCTAGATTCAAAACAAGAGAACCAACCCTGACTAACTACACAGCAACATATATAAACTACAGTTAAAACAAAAGAATCAATCTTGACTAACTACAGCAAAATTTATTATCCCAGAGTCAAAACAACAGAACCAACCTTGACTAACTACACAGCAATATATATAATTCTATGGTCAAAACAAGATAACCAATCCTGACTAACTACATAGTAACATATTTTATCCTATAGTTAAAACAAGAAAAGCAGTTGTGGTTAGAAGTCCTAGAGAGTTGTAATTTCTTCTCACTGAGAATGCTATTATTTAAGAATGATCTGCTTGTATGCAGATTTGTACAACCTAGAGCACTCTTAAGTGAAACACTGAGAAACCCTGTCTAGATCCAGTTTATTCAGGTCACAATGTGAAACTGTATCTACTGAGATCAAGTTAATTTAGGGCAAATTTTGGAACTGTTTGTAGTTTAGAACTACTTTATTTAGGGCAGACTGTGAATCTGTTAATTTTCAGATCTAGCTGATTAAAGGCACATAATGAGACTGTATTTCAGATCTAGGTCATTCAGGGCATATTGCAAAACTGTTAGTATTTCAAACCCAGTTTATTCAGACCACACTGTGCAGCTATTCAGATATATTTCATTTAGGCTCCACTGTGAAACTAAATGTTCTAATTTATTAGGTCACATAGTGAAATTTTCTGTTAGATTCCAGGTGTGCTTTAGTTAGGGAATAAGATTCCAGGTGTGCCTTATTTAGGGAATAAGATTCCAGGTGTGCCTTATTTAGGGAATAAGATTCCAGGTGTGCCTTATTTAGGGATTAAGATTTCAGATGTGTCTTATCTACATAACAGCAGCAACACACTAGAACTATCTCTGTCCCCAAATGACAAACAATATCTGGCAAATGACTACAATGACCACTCACCATTCTCTTCCTGCACTATCACACTCATTCGTTTCCTGGTTGGGTCAAAGGGCAAGGAGTGAAGAATTCTAAAATGTCGAATCTTTTTGTGGAATGAAGCCCGCAGGATACTGTCACTGGTCCCAAGATAAATGATCCCTAACCTGCAAGATAAGATGGCAGCCACAACAACAACAACAAAAATTTTATTTTCAAAAATGGTAAAATAAAAAGTATCTTATTATACCATTTTTATGTGGATTCAGAGGCACCCATTGGAAGGAGCAGGAGCGGGGGGAATAGACCCAATACCCACCTAACAAAGAAAGGTACAAGGCAACTAATAATGGATGTTTCCTTTAAAGTCAGGAGTGCATCTGCCTGAAAGGCAAGGAACCAAGCCTTTCCCTGTGTGGGTTGGCTCCATTTTGGAGAACAAAGAATAGACCCATTGCACCGCTAACAAGCATGTCATAGGAGGCAACTAATTAAGGGTGTTTCCTTCAAAGTCTACCTGAGAGACAAGAAAATATTTGACAGGGCTGAGTCTAATGAAAAGATCTGACAGGATCACAATGCTGAATTTCATAAAAGGACCTGACAGGATTCTAGGGCTGATTCAACAGGATCCTTTTTTTTTTGTTTGACGAAAAATATTCCACAGTTCGATGGTGATTTCCCAACTCTGACCACATGAGTAGTATCAAGACTGTAATTGTGGTTGTTCAAGAAACAGTTGCTTCACCTGCTACATGCTACCATCAATACTTTCTCATCACTGACCACACAACTAGCAACAAGGCTGATCACTCTTTGTAGTATATGATACAAGTTCATTCTCTTTAGGTAAAAAGTTAAGGGCTCAGGATAAAAAGTTAACTGCACATGCTGTATAGTAGACTGCAAAGCAACCCCAGCAATAATTTGCATCTGGTAATGTTACACTCAGTGGTTTTGTTCTGCAACTGAATGGTCAATGCCATGTCATTGTTGAAATCACTACAAAGCGGTTGGCTACCAAATCACCCGCAGCTGAATCTAACCCGATATGTGTAAATACATGAAACTGCAGTTACAACCCCAAGACACAGGTGCTAAATCGTTCAGGATAAAAGATCATAGTTATTGCCACTATTTGTTTTAAGGACAATTACTTTCAGATCTGATATATCCCGTGCGGGTTTCAGGGCCTCATTGTGGGGGAAACTAGAATAGTCCTTCTGCCTCCCCAACAAGCATATCGCAGGAGTCAACTAGTTTGGGATTTCCTTCAAAGTCCGAGTCCATTAGCCTGATAGCAAGAAGCCAAGTCTGCATACAAATAAGTCAGATCTGTAAAAACGGAGGTCAGTATCAAGACTAATTACTTTTTGCAATACAAGAAAAAGTGCAAGACCTCGGAAATCTTGCCCAAAACCAGGGACTCACCCGCTACATGCTACCACCAATGTTTTCTCAACTATGAACAAATGACTAGCAACAAGGGTGACCACTCTATGCAGTACAAGAAACAAATTTCTTTCCCCCTGAAAACAGTCGCAACTGACTGTACTACCACTTTTTAGGGCGGTGTAGGACAGGGAGTTCTTGAACCTTAAGACTTAGGACCGCATGGTTGGTGCAGTTGCCAAAAGCTGTCCAGGCCCCTGACAGAAACAACCTCCATCACCTTACTGAGAATTTGAAGTATTCTAACCAGGCACTTTCCTTAACACTTCACAACAAATAACTGTCTCACCTGCTGCAGGCTATCACCAATGCCTTCTCATCAGGGGAACTTGCATGATACTCGTACTCAGCCTTTCTGGAGCCGGATAAACCGTGTCCAACCTGAGGCTTGCGTGCGACATCCAGCCTCACAGTATGACACACAACTAGCACCTTGAAAAACTCATCCATCTCTTCCTGCAAATGGTAACACAAACAAACTGTTTAGCTACATACCAAATTTCAATAACTTCCTCTTCTTCAGCCTTCTGAGCCCCTGAGGTTTATTGCTGCAGATATCACTCTCCTCCATTCATCTCTCGGTTGGCCTTCTCTTTCCAGTTGGTGACATCAAGTATTTGCAGGTGTGTCTGTATATTATCTGTCCATCGCCTTCTTGGTCTGCCTCATTTTCTGTGACTATTCAACTCCCTTGTGTACATAACTTTTACCTCTCCACCATCTGACATTCTCTCAATATAAAAAAGGTTAAAAAGAATATAGGAAGTGCATTTCATGGATCAGATCACAAGAAAATGATTCTTCAATGAAGAATCATCATCATCAAGTGCTTTGTCAAGTGGCATTGGCAATCATACTTCTCCACACTATCTTTTTTAAAAACCCTGTTGCCCTGAGGAGAGGAAATCTAGTAACTTCCAGTTGTGAAACAGCCCTGTAAACACGGATAATCACCATTTCTGCTGTGACTTTTCTCTTAAAGTGTAGTTAAATGTCATTGGTTACGTGTGCACCTGCATAGTGTTTAGGAGACCCAGATGCGAATATATTAACTACATATAAGCATTATATAGCTTAAAAAAGCCTGGTTGACTTAACAATTTTCCATAAGCCTCAGTAACAGAGGTCAAGGGGTCATGGCATGATTCATCCAATATATATTTGGTTTAGGTCCCAGGGAATGCATTCTTTTTAATGTTTTATTCTGTTTTCATTTACTGATTACTACCTTTATATATACATACATTTGATATAAATAAATTGTAAACAATTTAGTTCTTACCTTTATGTTTTTTTGCTTTAGCAAATGTTAAAAAAGGTGAGAGAATTTATTTCAATCGATTCAATTTTATCCTATCAAACCAGGTCTCTCTGTAGAACTGTTTGTTGCCCACCAGGAGAGCTGCACAGAGCACGAACTCTGACTCCAGGTGAAAGCCAGGATCAAGAAACACTGCAATTCCAAATAGGAGCTAATTCTCACTGATCTGTCTGCACATATTCTGAGATGACTGAAGCACTTCTAGATAGTCTTGTAGTTGGCAGCTGAAGTTTAAACTTTACTTTAAAAAAATGGGTCAACCATAACTGATCCGTTCCTGTACCAGTGAAAAAAATCACACAAAATGTCCTTCACTGTTCTACTATAAAAATCCAGAAACATGCATACACGCATAAAGCAGCTGCTACTGGTGCCAACAACAACATTCACCACAACACTTGCAATTTGTCATCAATGGAAGTAGTCAGTCATGACAAGCTGGCTATAGAGGAGTAAAATTATTGCATAAGGCTTATCACCAGCCCTAACACACAAGGCGGTGAGCCACCATTTTCTGAATATTACAACAAAAACCACCATCAGCATCGATGAAAGGCATTTATTATGAAATACACAAAGTGGTATGCTAAGCGATCAAATCAGTAGCTATGGCAAAGATACTGAACTTCAGCTCACATGTGTGTTAGCAAACCATTGCTAGATGCAAACAATGCTGCAAGACTTCAACTTGTCCACTATACTGGATCAGAAATACCCCCCCCCCCCCCGCGCTCACTTTAAAAAAAAAAAATTATTTTCAAAGTTTAATGTTTAATATGAAATCTTACAGTAATATTGTGGCTCTCTCAACTTCTGCTGCAGTGAAATTGTGTGAAGATTTCAATTCTCAAAAACAACATATCAGTTCATACTTGAAATTTGTATTTCATTCATTTTTAAAGCAAAGGATGAAAACAATGCATGCAGAAGAAAATACATCCACAACAAAGAGATAAAAACAAATAAAATTCTCTAGAGTCTGGGAAATATAAATTTTAAAAAAGGAAACATCATAGCAGATACCACCAAAGCAACATGAAATTACGTGATTCCACACTCCATACTTTACTAGAGAATGGGGTGGTGTGCCCAATTTCTTCCTAAAAATATCAATATTTTACCAGGCCAGTTAGAGAGCTGTTACAAAAAGAAGAGAAAAAATACCATCCTCAAACTGGTAGGAAAAGACCCTTTCGCTGTCACAAACACAGTGGCTGACACATCAGGTATACAGTGGCTGACACATCAGGTATACAGTGGCTGACACATCAGGTATACAGTGGCTGACACATCAGGTATACAGTGGCTGACACATCAGGTGTACAGTGGCTGACACATCAGGTATACAGTGGCTGACACATCAGGTATACAGTGGCTGACACATCAGGTATACAGTGGCTGAAACATCAGGTATACAGTGGCTGACACATCAGGTATACAGTGGCTGACACATCAGGTATACAGTGGCTGACACATCAGGTATACAGTGGCTGACACATCAGGTATACAGTGGCTGACACATCAGGTATACAGTGTAAAACTCATCGACCCGTGATCAGTGATGTGGTCAACATCACACCTACAATCTTGACTTCCTATGACTATTCCCAGTAAGAATTTGAGGCTGGATCGACCTGGGAGACAAAGCAATCTTGAAATAAAATGTTGCTTCATATGGATTTGAACTGAAGATCTTCTGGCTGCAAGCAAGTTCTAGTCATCCTGCTACTGTGGTTCCAAACCTCAGATAGGCACCAGAAATAATGTCACTGGAGATAATGATGGCTGGCATGATGACCACATCAGCCATCCAGCTCAGAACGGTACTAAAATTATGGTTCCAGTATCATATGCCTGGTGGGCCAATGGTGTGAAAAAGTTCTGTTACTCATTTGTCCATTTCAGTACAGGTAATAACAAGAGATACACTTACCGTAAACTTTACTGAAGATTTCAAGTCAAGGGAGTCAGTGTCCATTTTCTCACAAAATTTCCCATCCACAATTTCAAACTGCCGTTTGCCAATACAGCATTTGCGGAACACCATGTTGTTTTCTGTCAAGGTACCTGTCTTATCAGTAAATAAGTACTCAACCTGAAAGTCAAGAAAGAAAGAAACATGAAGCTGTGAACAAATGAAGATGGCATGTAATCTGTTACAATAACGATAATGGCAAAAGAATAGATGTTCATGGAATGACCACAGGAAAGTTTTAGAATTAAACTGACAGAAGGAGACCAAAAGAGAGAATGTTGGACAGTCTGTCATCACAGCATGAAAGAATTTTTGTATCATAAATCTTTGGCAGTGTACAAGGCAAAAGGCTGGCACAGAATGCCACATAAGAAGAGGTTTTTAAACATTGGATCAACATCATGGCACACGGGTAGGAACTCATCAGTGCTCTGTGTTTTTTCTAACTCTGAGTCCAAAGAAGCTTAGCCCAGTGCACAGGCTCTGTAGCACCAGCAAGGATCCTGAAATACTTTGGGCAGATTTTCAACTCCAAATTTTTGGCCAGGCAGCGCCATTAGGCTACTCTTTTCGATTTCCAACTGCCAGGGGATTTTTTTTCATGCACAGCAATGCACACGGGCATCCAATCTCACTAACCAGCGACCAAGGGAAATTACCAGAAGTCCAAGTCAACGTGAAAAAATCCCAGCCCTTGCCGGGGATTGAACCCGAAACCTTTAGCACTCAAGGCAGACAACATGCTTTGAGACCATAGCCCCCTGGACTTGGTCACAAAGCTCAGTTTCTGTCAGTGCACACTACTGCATCATCTTCAGTTTCTGTCAGTGCACACTACTGCATCATCTTCAGTTTCTGTCAGTGCACACTACTGCATCATCTTCAGTTTCTGTTAGTGCACACTACTGCATCATCTTCAGTTTCTGTCAGTGCACATAGTGCATCATCTACAGTGCAAACTACTCATCATCTTTAGTTTCTGTCAGTGCACACTACTGCATCATCTTCAGTTTCTGTCAGTGCACACTACTGCATCATCTTCAGTTTCTGTCAGTGCAAACTACTCATTCTGTCAGTGCACACTACTGCATCATCTTCAGTTTCTGTCAGTGCACACTACTGCCATCATCTTCAGTTTCTGTCAGTGCACACTACTGCATCATCTTCAGTTTCTGTCAGTGCACACTACTGCATCATCTTCAGTTTCTGACAGTGCACACTACTGCATCATCTTCAGTTTCTGTCAGTGCAAACTACTCATCATCTTCAGTTTCTGTCAGTGCACACTACTCATCATCTTCAGTTTCTGTCAGTGCACACTACTGCATCATCTTCAGTTTCTGTCAGTGCACACTACTGCATCATCTTCAGTTTCTGTCAGTGCACACTACTGCATCATCTTCAGTTTCTGTCAGTGCAAACTACTCATCATCTTCAGTTTCTGTCAGTGCACACTACTCATCATCTTCAGTTTCTGTCAGTGCACACTACTGCATCATCTTCAGTTTCTGTCAGTGCACACTACTCATCATCTTCAGTTTCTGTCAGTGCACACTACTCATCATCTTCAGTTTCTGTCAGTGCACACTACTCATCATCTTCAGTTTCTGTCAGTGCACACTACTCATCATCTTCAGTTTCTGTCAGTGCACACTACTCATCATCTTCAGTTTCTGTCAGTGCACACTACTGCATCATCAAAGTCCAGTATAAGAATGTACTATCATGATGTGCCACACCAGTAAGTGCAGACGGTCATGGTTTACCATCTCACATGATTACCAGAATCATAGATCAAATCTGTGTTCTGTTCATTTTCCATAGACATGATGAAGCTATTGCAATATTTAGCTTCTTGTCTTTTCCTTGCCATTTTCCACAAATGTGATGCTGGGTCACTGAGTTACTGTTGACTGTTCGATATTTCCATTTTTGATGATCAGTTGCATCAGACTTGAAGTTTTCAGATCTGAGGCCAGTCACGTCTGCCAGATTCTTGATCCAGATATTTCTTTGTCCACTTCATCTCTTCCCTTGTATCGATCCCTTTAGCATGATTTTGGAAAAGCAAGTAGATCTGATCAGATTTTCACACAATTGCATTTTACAGCTTTTATTGCTGTTAAAAGATATTCATAGCTGCTGATGTGTTAAATAATTATTTGGCAAGGTTCATTATACACAGAATCTTGAGCAAGTTCTACAGTAAACTCTCATTAACCATAATTCCTAGGGACAGAAAAAAACAACACCAAGAATTTGTGTTAAAAACATGCGTGCTAACCAGCAACAAATTATGAATATGTTCCTACTGGGACAACAATTTTTTTATCCTAAGCAAGTTCATGTTAACAGGGTTTTACTGTTATTTTCGTTCTTGAATTTTCCTATGGACACTAAGATTAATGTTTCAAAGGCATATCTTTCTAACTGTTATGTATACTGTTATACTTCTATATTAACTCCACCTTCTTCTGCGTTTGCCCATAAGAGGCCAGTTGGCACACTGTAGTTTACAGCAAGGCTGCATTATCTGCACCTTCCATCATAAAAGGCCAGTTGGCACACTGTAGTTTATAGCAAGGCTGCACTATCTGCACCTTCCATCATAAAAGGCCAGTTGGCACACTGTAGTTTACAGCAAGGCTGCACTATCTGCACCTTCCATCATAAAAGGCCAGTTGGCACACTGTAGTTTATAGCAAGGCTGCACTATCTGCACCTTCCATCCCAAAATATCAGTTTTCAACATGCCCTCAAATATTCAAGTTTTTTTTCAAAAAGAGCTCCCCTCCCCCCCCCCCCCCCTTTCCTCTTTGTTTTTTGCAATGTGGCGCAGAAAACCAAACAGGATTATAATAACATAACTTCAATTACACATAAAGATGCAGTAAACCTGCAGTGGTCATGCAAATCTAGTCATCCGACAGAAGAGAGAAGGGAGAGAACAATGACTAAGCATTTATCACAATTACACACAAGAAAATTAATAAACACTCCTTCACCTGTCCTAATTCTTCATTGAGATCAGATGTGTTTGCTTGAGCACGCTCTCCTATTGTTTCATCATACATCTCAATGTCCATACCAAAGAACAAGGACCCTAAGAACTTTTGCACTTCTGCAACAATAAAGTCAAATTATATTGTTGGGTGACTGGATTCATTGTCTACTTTTACTGCAATTTGAAACCATACATGAGTGACCTCAGTGCACAAACTGTTTAGTATTAATCAGAATTCCTCTTACATCTAAACCTCTTACCAGACATACATAATCATAAAATCACAAGAGTCATTTCTTCCTAATTTGTAACTGAATCTTTATTACAGATACAAACATAATGCCCCTCTTACATCTGAATCTCCTATTAGAAAAATAAAAGGAGTCATTTCTCCTTTATAGCTAAATCTCCTAGCAGAGATACATGATTAAGTCTCCCCTTATAATCGAACCAGAGATACATCTGTCATAAACACCTAAATACACCATAAGAAATAAAGGACAAGTTTTCTCATACATCTGAAGCTTGTCCCACAGAATACAGGAATAATTGTTGTTTCCTTGCACCTCAACTTACCCTTCCATCACAGACAAATGAATCACCACCACCCTCCTACACTATTTCTACCAGCACAAAAATGGGAATTACCAATCTCTTCCCTAATCTCTACAAGCACAAACATGGGAATTCCCACTCTCCTCCCCAACCTTTACCAGCACAAACATGGGAATGACCAGCCCTCCTTCCCTATCTCTACCAGCACAAACACGGGAATTACCACTCTCCTCCCTAATCTCTCCAGCACCCAACTCCCTTTCTACCAGCACAAACATGGGAATGACCAGCCCTCCTTCCCTATCTCTACCAGCACAAACACGGGAATTACCACTCTCCTCCCTAATCTCTACCAGCACAAACACGGGAATTACCACTCTCCTCCCTAATCTCTACCAGCACAAACACGGGAATTACCACTCTCCTCCCTAATCTCTACCAGCACAAACACAGGAATTACCACTCTCCTCCCTAATCTCTACCAGCACAAACACCATTTACCACTCTCCTCCCTAATCTCTACCAGCAAAAACACAGGAATTACCACTCTCCTCCCTAATCTCTACCAGCACAAACACGGGAATTACCACTCTCCTCCCTAATCTCTACCAGCACAAACACGGGAATGACCACTCCTCCATCCTAATCTCTAAGCACAAACACGGGAATTATCACCCTCCTTCCCTATCTATACCAGCACAAATATCAGAATTACCACAATCTTCTAGTATTTTAGCAGTACAAACATGTAAACATACCCACTGTGACATACAAAGATATAGGAATTATGTAGTTGTACAGCACCATGAATGCTAGTGCAGTTTCAATGGCTTTAACGGCCTGGAAGAAGCAAAACAATAAAATTTAAAATGCATCTGTCTGTTCAATATACTACTGATATATATAGTTCTATATATATATATATATATAGATATATATATATATATATATATATATATTATATATATATATATAGATATATATATATATATATATATATAGATATATATATATATATATATATATATTATACTATATATATATATATATATATATATATATATATATATATATGTATATACATATACATACATACATGCACATACACATATATATACATACACACACACTCTCTCTCACTCACTCTCTCTCATGCACGCACACACGCTCACACACACACATTGAATATATTACTGAAAAATATATGTTATTCAAAAATGTTCAACAATAACAAAATACATAATCTGAGACTTCATTATAATTGTATCTCCACAGAGACTGTGTGGCAGTGCTCTCATTCCCTACTCCACATTCAGAAACCAGCAGGGGTGGCAGGCTTAAGAGGCAGGTGATGAATGAGACTAGGATAAGGTCTAGGTTGTTGATGTTTCCTGGACCTGTTTTAGCTATATCACTGTCCACAGATACAACTCCAGTGCCTACAAGATGGTAGTACCCCCATGCAAACGAGATGTTTAAAAAAAAAAGCTGCAGGAGAGATCAGAAGAGATCAAAACAGGAATAAAGTCGCAAAACTGGCACATAACGCATTCAAAATTGTATAAAAAGATAGTAAATAAACTGGCTAGCTCACTTAGAGAGAACGCCTTGCAATGTGATACCATACAAGATATACTTCTAAAGAAGTGAGCAGATGAAAAGATAATATCAGAGAAACTCCACAACAGTATGATCTGTAAATGGTCGAGGTGGCCATATCTCCCTTGACACCTAAAACAGTAAATGAGGAAGAATAAAAAGAAGACAATTTGTCAGTTAGTTTCTGATTAGAATAAATCATCTTCTAAAACTTTATATCATTTGATTACTATCATGTCTCATTTATTTTTCATTATATCAAAATGATCTCTAGAAAATAAAGGTAAGACTCATGACTGTCTCAAAACCTGGGAGGATTCTATGCCCAATGCATTAGCTGCAGCTGTGATATTGTTAGGGAGAACTGAGAAGGAAACACAGAAATGCAGTGATGGGAAATATTATTAAGGAAATGGAGAACCCATTAACACAAATTCATAATGCATACTGCCCGTTTTTTCATCTTTCTGGACATTTGTGAGACAATCATGACACGTGTGTACAACCGGCTGTTTAAGAAAACAATCAGTTGTTAGGTAAAGTAAATATAGGATCTGTTTCAGCTGTTAGAGATTACCATCAGTCGTTAGGTAAAGCAAATATAGGATCTGTTTCAGCTGTTAGACAGAGATTATTATCAGTCATTAGGTAAAGTAAATATAGGTTGTGTTTCAGCTGTATCAATAAAAGTGAAGTTTTTTAGTTGTTAAACTCACCTAATAAAAGTGTACTATTGACATAAAGTACGCAATGGCTGAACCACGACAATCCATGTGTGGGTTCCGGTGCCCTATTTAGTAGGAAAAAGAAGAGATCTGCCCAGCCCCTCCCCCCCCCCCTTTCCCACACACACACACACAACAAGCATGTTGCAAAATTAACTAATTAAGGTTCTTCTCTCCGAAGTCGAAGTGCATCTGCCTGGAAGATGAGGAACAAACAGTCTGCATGCAAATCAATCAAATTTGTCAAACAAATGTGTACACACAACTCAAGTTCTAGAACAAGAACAAAAGTCCACAAGTGGATGAATAACTAGAACTCTCCACAGAAAAATTAAGAAGAACAATGGCCTCACTCTTCTGTGACTACTTGATTCCTTGTTTTCAACAACCTCTTTCATACTAGAAGTTCTAAAGTCAATATTTTGTTACCACAACAGGCAGACCACTTAAACACCCTGACACTGACCTCTGCTTTTGTTTTATCCTTGGGCACATACCATGGCACCCCATTCACATCCTCAAACCAGTACATTAACCCTGTGGACACAACTGACTCCAACAGAAGAACAACAAGGAAAACAACAAGGAAATGGTTCATCTTTCTGAAAGTAAAATTTTTAAATATATTTTTAATCAACAACTAAAATAAATAAACACCAATAACATGGTTTTTTTTAATCTAAAGCAGTTAATTTATAACCTGGAATTCTAAACAGTTTATCGCCAGAAACTGCCTGCATTTACCACTGCTACAGCGTAGGCATGGGGAAAGGTCTTCGAGGACAAACAGAAAGGATGAGATGAGGATTCTTATTTTGCATTCCACCCCCCCCCCCCCCCCAACTCTCCCAGGTTATTTCTGTGGTTTGGACACAATTAACTGTGAGCTGAAATTTTTTACTGCAACATGACAAAGCTAAAACCTTCCTGAAAAAAATATTGGCAGTACAATAACACATAATATATCACATTAAACATAAATAAACACAGAATTATCCTAACTATTCACAGATCTGTAGTGCAACAATTAAATATTAAAATGGCACCACATTCCATTTTTTTACAAGTGAAGTTTTGTTCTTACCTTACTTTTATTTTTTCTTTACTTAATCAGCAATACTTCTATTCATTTCTAAAATGTCACATGCCTTCTCTGTTCAATTATGCATCAGCAAGTCTTTATATGAGACAATAATTCTAAATACTTTTGATTGTATGACCATTTTTGTGTGTCATGTCCAATTTCAGAGCTATCAAATTCCAGACACAATTGACTGAAATAGGGAAAATCCAATGAAACATTCTGTTCCACTTCATCCTAACCCATATTGTTGACAATAGGTGCTTGTTCCACTTCATCCCAACCCATACTGTTGACATTAGGTGCTTGTTCCACTTCATCCCAACCAATACTGTTGACAATAGGTGCTTGTTCCACTTCATCCCAACCCATACTGTTGACAATAGGTGCTTGTTCCACTTCATCCTAACCCATACTGTTGACAATAGGTGCTTGTTCCACTTCATCCCAACCCATATTGTTGACAATAGGTGCTTGTTCCACTTCATACACACCCATACTGTTTGACAATAGTGCTTGTTCCACTTCATCCCAACCCATACTGTTGACAATTAGGTGCTTGTTCCACTGTTGACAATAGGTGCTTGTTTCATCCTAACCCATACTGTTGACAATAGGTGCTTGTTCCACTTCATCCCAAATCATACTGTTGACATTAGGTGCTTGTTCCACTTCATCCCAACCCATACTGTTGACATTAGGTGCTTGTTCCACTTCATCCCAACCATTAGGTGCTTGTTCCCTAACCCATACTGTTTAGGTGCTTGTTCCACTTCATCCCACATTAGGTGCTTGTTCCACTTCATCCCAACCCATACTGTTTAGGTGCTTGTTCCACTTCATCCCAACCCATACTGTTGACAATAGGTGCTTGTTCCACTTCATCCTAACCCATACTGTTGACAAAAGGTGCTTGTTCCACTTCATCCCAACCCATACTGTTGACATTAGGTGCTTGTTCCACTTCATCCCAACCCATACTGTTGACAACAGGTGCTGCACTTGCGTTATTCATCATAATGTCAAGACTATTTTTGTCACTATCTGGCTCAGATTTATCACTGACAGCAACTGCATGGTCAGTTCTGGATCTAGCGGTGTTAATGTTCTAGTTTCTTTTAAGGTAAGAAAATCACACAAAAACTGAAACTGAAAGAGTTAAAAGGAAGGGCAGATCATTGTGTTGTGGTTTACAGATAGACTACAATATCTGCATTTTTTTTGCCCAACACATTCAATTTTAGCAAACCCTAAATTAGCTGCTTTTCACGACATGACTGTTGATGGGCAGTTAGTCTTCTGTTTGGAGGTGGAGATGGTCACAGCAACTTTTCGCTGAATAGAGAACACGACACACACATACACACATCGTGATTGTAACTGACTCAGAAAGTATGCTGAGGAAGATCAGAACAAGTATGCTTCGTGCAGAGTGGCATGCTTCGCTGAGGAGAAAACGGGTGAGGATTATTATCTGGATTTTTTCACCGGGAAACGCCGGTGTGTTGGGAAATGAAAAAGCGGACAGCGTTTAATCAGAATGCTACTGGCACCATTAGTATCGGAACTTTTCGCTGGCTGCTGAAGATGGGGACGGAGTGCTTATGGGAATGCCCCGAGTGTTGTGATGTCGGTTCTTGAATCAAATCAAATCAAATCTTCTGTTTGTGTCAGAAACAGATGGCAGAGCATCAACAGCACACTGTTAGTGAAAGACCAGAAAAACAGAGGGCAGGAAAGATTGACACAGATGAACAATGCTAGAATAAATCAATACATTACCTTTCCACTCTTGAAAATTTAATCTTTTTCGACTTTGAATTCAAGGACATTTTGGTGTCTTTTCCTGTATACACAGCACAGCCTGCAATGGAAGACAAGACTGGAATATTTTCTTCTTTAAAGTTAGGCAATGTCTCTCTAAGAAAACAGTCAAGGAACCTTCTCCACGCCTTCAGATGTACTGAGCATACAGGGCTAGACTAATACTGCGTAGATCATAAGTACTAATTTTTGTGATAATGTCAACATTATGGCAGCTGCCATTACTTCCAAGGACTTTACCTGATACCTATGTAAGGCTGGGTCAACCTGTGGGCCAAGGTCATTTTAACAACAACAAAATTGATGGCCTCTGTTTATTGGAACCCACGACCATCCGATCCTTAGGTAAGCGCTGTTAGTGTATATTGAAAACGTAAAATAGACCGTTTTCACAAAACGGGTGCAGCAGAACAGCCCTGCGTTAGGATGACAGACAATCAACACTTAGCCCCTTGTTTGTGGAGCAAAAAGAAAGTGAAACTAAAGGCACACTTGATAATGAATGGATGTGGTTGAATTCTGGAGAGTTATGACGATGTTCCAGAAGAAGATGGCATGACTGTTGTTGAATTAATGTATGTAGAATTCTGTACATGAATAAATTGTGATTTCTTTTACAAGGGTGGGAGGAATTACATAATCAGGGGAGATGGGAGGATCCCTAGTGCAAATTTTAAAGCAAAAATCAATACAAGACCATGTATGATTTTTGGGAAACAATGTAGATGCTGATGACTTGGTGTGTAATCTTAGGCCTTGACACAATCTAAGCCATGACATATGAGGTGGATGGTCAGTTTCCTTCCTCACTGACTTTTTTCCCCAGACAATACTGGCAATTATCTCCACAGTGGGAGCATGACTTCTCCTGCTGTGCTTTACCAGACACTCGTACAAGGCGTAATGGTGATCTGCAACAGGAACGGAGGTTATATATATATATATATCGCCGTTACGGTAGAGACAAAAATCTCTGCACAGTGCATTGACTGCCTTAGATATTCTTAGGTTTTTGCTGCACACTCCCCCCCCCCTCCCCCCCCCGCACTTCTACCACCATAAAAAGTGGTAAATACACATGGTAAAATGTTTTTCGTGTGTGTGTGTGTTGTGTGTGTGTGCATGTGACAAAACCAGCAGCTTACCATAAATATGGTTAGTATTCTTGAGGCGAGCCCCTCTCAGTAACAAATTCTCAGGCCCCAGAGAATGAGGTTCTACGCCTGTGCCTACAGCCACAACTCCATGAAATCTGTACAAATTTGCTACCGGAGCCATGCAGGTGATGCTTGCCACCAGATGACCTAGTTTTTCAGGTGTGTCAAACTCACGTGTTTCATTGAGACTGTAGCATGTCTGTAACAAACATAAATGAGCTTAACAACAGACTTTAGTAAAACAATAAAATTTGTATATCTTAATAAGGGAATTATTAATATTATAAAATAAGTGTAAAAAATAATGATTTCTAAACATAAATTTACATTATCTTCTTAAAACTTTTTTACAAAGAACATAAAATAAATGTTGGTGCCTTTCCGTCTTTCAAGGTGGTAGTATGATTGATAGTGACAACTCAGAAAGAGCTACAGGAATTGATATACACAGTGGTGGTAGAAAGTGATAAAATGGACCTCAGTTTCAATAATGGAAAGACAGAAGTGATGGGGATTTTCAAGAAAAGAACAGTGCCTAAATGTATAATAAAAGTCAAAGGCGTTATTTTAGGACAAGTACATAATTTTAAACATCCAGGCACATGGATAACATCCAATGGAAGATGTATTGCCAGATAAAGAATAGAAATAGGACAGGCCAAAACTGTATTTTACAAAAGGAAGAACATTTTATGTAATAAATCCATGTCACTGAAATTTAGGAAAAGAATTCTTGCATGCTAAGTAGAGCCAGTTGTAACATACGGCTGTGAAGCCTGGACAATTAATAAACAAGCCAAACAATATCTTGAGATCGCAGGGATGTGGTTTTACAGAAGAATCCTTAGAATTCCTTGGACAGATAAGAAGAGCAACCTAGATGTTTTGAAGAGGCGATTGCTCGAAGACAACTCATCACAAATATCAGAAGGAGACAGTCATCATTTTTTGGGTCATGTTATGAAGAGGGAAAATGGAACATGATGTGACCACTGGAAAATTCTGTGGAAAGAGAGACAGAGGAAGACAGCGTGAGAAGATTCTTGACAGTCTTTTGTCATGGCATGGAGGGGTATCAGCACACAAACTCATACATGCAGTTGCGGATTGCAGATTGTGGAGAGGCATGATCGCTCAAGCCAGTCGGCAAGGCACTTGATGATGAGAATGATAAAAAGGCAGCATGAGGCAACAATCAATGTGACTAGCAAGAGCTGATGACAGTAAGAAATGTCTTCCACAAAAAGTGCATGTGATTTCAGGACCGCACCTGCCAAATACAAGACCAAATGTTAATGGCCTCTCACTAGATCAGAACTACATCAGTTACACACTTAGAAGCAACCCGTAAGAAGATCTGATAAGCAGCAGCAAGAGGGTGCACAAGGAGTGGTAGACTCATGACATTCAAGATACTGTACATCCACAAGATATGCTAGGGAGCCAATGCCGCCCATCACGCCATGAACACTAACTTTTCTTACGTGACAGAAAAGAGTGAAAGATGATGATGACTATTGAACCAATATTGCATACAAAACAGGCCAAACCTTGAGACTGGTCTCGCCGTCCAGGTTTGCTGTAGTAATAAAGCACTGGCCCATGGGGTCATCTGATGACAGCAAAATGAGATCACAGGGAAACTCCTCATTCCTCTGTACCTTGACAATATCTCCAACCTGCAGAACCGTGCATGGCAACTGCAGTTATCAGTTCAGACAAATTGTGTATGATTGATCAACAACATGGAACAAAAACAGAAATCAATTTCTGAGAAGACCCAAAAAAAAATTAAACTAGCAAAAGTGGTGAAAAAACTGAAATGTAAAGCCAGATAACAAACAAATGTAACTCATTCATTGGGTAGCATATGCCACTGAAGGTGTGTTCCTGTGTCCTGTCTTATAATTTACAAGGCTATTCAACTGCCCTCCTAGCGAGTGGCCCCTGGATAATTGCCGGTTGTATTGAATTATTGGTCTTTCTATGATGGGACTGAATCACTGGCCCGTGACGATCCCTAGTTTCACAGTTTTGGCCCCTCAATAAACTTAGTCGAATAACCCTGACATAATACATAGTACTGGGTGTGACAGTCCAGAAATAACTGTTTTAACAGAAGTGTCAAGCAACCTGCTATATGGGATGTGAAGGAAGTGCTGAGGGCTGACATACGATGATGAAAGTATGTGAGCGATCCAGCAATACTGGACATAATACTTCTTTTTCTTCTTAGCGGTCACCAGCTGTAAACTTCAGTTGAAAGTTCTGGTTGTTTGTCCACTTCTGGACTTTTATTGGCATTGTTCCAAAACCTGAGTTTTGTGTGCACAAATGTTTTGCAGATCTGGCTTATTTATATGCAGAGTGCTGGTTCCTTGCCTATCGGGCAGATGCCCTCCGACTACACAAAAAAAGCCTCTAATTAGTCACCTTTTATGACATGCTTGTTGGTGAAAAAGGGGAGGGCAATGGGTCTATGCCCCCCCCCCCCTTTCCCCTCCAAACTGGGGCTCCAGAATCCACATGGGAAGTTATAATACTGTGTATGAGGTGTTTGATAACAAATGCTATGGAAACAGAATCAGCTATCCAGTAATGCACAAAACAATACTGTGTATGAGGTTATATAGTAACAGATGCATCCAGTAATACATTATATAATATGCGAACACAGTGTTCGGTAAAAGAATTATATGGTGTGATCCAGTTTTCAATATATACTACAGGGTGTCAGGTTTTCAGTAACAATTGCTATAACAGACATGTTAGGCAACATGTTATTTTAGTGGGATGAGAGTAACAAAGGGAAAAGGAGAGTGATCCAGTAATATATAATACTGGGTAGGAGGTGTCCAGTAACTACTGCTATGGAAAGAGAGTGAGTGATCCAGTAATATATAATACTGGGTAGGAGGTGTCCAGTAACTACTGCTATGGAAAGAGACTGAGTGATCCAGTAATATATAATACTGGGTAGGAGGTGTCCAGTAACTACTGCTATGGAAAGAGACTGAGTGATCCAGTAATATATAATACTGGGGTAGGAGTGTTGTCCAGTAACTTCTGCTATGGAAAGAGAGTGAGTGATCCAGTTAATATATAATACTGGGTAGGAGGTGTCCAGTAACTACTGCTATGGAAAGAGAGTGAATGATCCAGTATATATAATACTGGGTAGGAGGTGTCCAGTAACTACTGCTATGGAAAAGAGAGTGAGTGATCCAGTAATATATAATACTGGGTAGGAGGTGTCCAGTAACTACTGCTATAGGAAAGAGAGTGAGTGATCCAGTAATATATAATACTGGGTAGGAGGTGTCCAGTAACTACTGCTATGGAAAGAGAGAGAGAGTGATCCAGTAATATATATAATACTGGGTAGGAGGTGTCCCAGTAACTACTGCTATGGAAAGAGAGTGAGTGATCCAGTAATATATAATACTGGGTAGGAGGTGTCCAGTAACTACTGCTATGGAAAGAGAGTGAATGATCCAGTAATATATAATACTGGGTAGGAGGTGTCCAGTAACTACTGCTATGGAAAGAGAGTGAATGATCCAGTAATATATAATACTGGGTAGGAGGTGTCCAGTAACTACTGCTATGGAAAGAGACTGAGTGATCCAGTAATATATAATACTGGGTAGGAGGTGTCCAGTAACTACTGCTATGGAAAGAGAGTGAGTGATCCAGTAATATAATAATACTGGGTAGGATGAAGGTGTCCAGTAACTACTGCTATGGAAAAGAGAGTGAATGATCCAGTAATATATAATACTGGGTAGGAGGTGTCCAGTAACTACTGCTATGGAAAGAGAGTGAATGATCCAGTAATATATAATACTGGGTAGAGAGGTGTCCAGTAACTACTGCTATGGAAAGAGAGTGAGTGATCCAGTAATATATATAATACCTGGGTAGGAGGTGTCCCAGTAACTACTGCTATGGAAAGAGAGTGAGTGATCCAGTAATATATAATACTGGGTAGGAGGTGTCCAGTAACTTCTGCTATGGAAAGAGGGACTGAGTGATGCCAGTAATATATAATACTGGGTAGGAGGTGTCCAGTAACTACTGCTATGGAAAGAGAGTGAGTGACCCAGTAATATATAATACTGGGGTAGGAGGTGTCCAGTAACTACTGCTATGGAAAGAGAGAGAGTGATCCAGTAATATATAATACTGGGTAGGAGGTGTCCAGTAACTACTGCTATGGAAAGAGGAGTGAAATGATCCAGTAATATATAATACTGGGTAGGAGGTGTCCATTAACTACTGCTTTGGAAAGAGAGTGAATGATCCAGTAATATATAATACTGGGTAGGAGGTGTCCAGTAACTACTGCTATGGAAAGAGAGTGAATGATCCAGTAATATATAATACTGGGTAGGAGGTGTCCAGTAACTACTGCTATGGAAAGAGAGTGAGTGATCCAGTAATATATAATACTGGGTAGGAGGTGTCCAGTAACTACTGCTATGGAAAGAGAGTGAGTGATCCAGTAATATATAATACTGGGTAGGAGGTGTCCAGTAACTACTGCTATGGAAAGAGAGTGAAATGAATGATCCAGTAATATATAATACTGGGTAGGAGGTGTTCCAGTAAACTACTGCTATGGAAAGAGAGTGAATGATCCAGTAATATATAATACTGGGTAGGAGGTGTCCAGTAACTACTGCTATGGAAAGAGAGTGAATGATCCAGTAATATATAATACTGGGTAGGAGGTGTCCAGTAACTACTGCTATGGAAAGAGAGTGAGTGATCCAGTAATATATAATACTGGGTAGGAGGTGTCCAGTAACTACTGCTATGGAAAGAGACTGAATGATCCAGTAATATATAATACTGGGTAGGAGGTGTCCATTAACTACTGCTATGGAAAGAGAGTGAGTGATCCAGTAATATATAATACTGGGTAGGAGGTGTCCAGTAACTACTGCTATGGAAAGAGACTGAGTGACCCAGTTTTAATAACATAGTATTGAGTGTGAGGCGTTCTGTAACAAGTAATATAATTAGAAGTGTCAGGCAACATGCTTTATTGGGGTGCATGTTTGGTAACAAGTGTGTGAGTGATACAGTAACATACGATATGACACTGGGTATAAAGAGTCCAGTGTAACAAATACTATAACAGGGGAGTGGAGTAACTTTGCTTTATATAGTTAGAAAATCACCTGGGTGTATATGCCATTGATAGGTTTCACAGTGCTGTTTTATGTCCCAGACGATCTTTAAAATATATAAACTGTGAACCTCGTAGCAAAGAGAAATGTATGGGCAATCACTGGTAACAACAGTTATAAGACAAAGAAGATGGCGCTATACTGGACACATCCTGAGAAGAAACGAGCACAGAATCACCTAACAGGCACTAAAGTGGGAAATAAAGGACTGAGGAAGCAAGGATGTCCAAAAGAAACCTTCAAACAATTGATGAGAGAGGTCAAAGGTGTTGGATTCCATCTATAATATCCAAGGGACTGCACAGGATAGACAGGAATGGAGAAACTGGCTAGGATCCTTAGGTGAAATATAACGGCACAACCGGACAATGATGATGATGATGTCTAGTAACATAATCTTTCATAAGGGGGTGAGGTATTCAAGAATTCAGCCTCCCACAATCAATTCATCTCTGTTGACTGATGGTTAACCTCTCACACCTGTCAACATTAACAGTCTTTTTTCACCCATCAAAGTCTGACCTTGATATCCATGGCTCTTGCAGCTTCTTCCTCTCCATTCCTGATGATAAATGTCTGTCGTAAATTCACCTCATTGTCTGCCTTGTGTCGCAGCCAGTCTTCATAACCCTGTTCATGATCAGATTTTGTAAAAAGTTAGTTGTGTGTCCTTCACAGGACGTTGCATAACCAAACAGCATTTTTTTTGTGTTTTTAATTTAACCAGGCAATTTAACGTTGAGTAGTTATCCATTGCTGCTGAATGGTCGGCTCTCGATACCATTGTTGAAACCAATGCAATGCAGTCTGCTGCCAAAATGCCAGCACATCAAAGTTACAAAGCATATGTGCAACATATATGCCAAAGAAGCGAACCATGACAACGTAATTATTATGAAATATGTCTGTCTGATTGAATCATATCTAAAGTAAAGTGTGGCACATTCAATCAAAATGCCATCATAAGTCACCTGCTGCATGTTATCAGGGTCCATCCCTGTCTGATTCAGTCGGCACATTCAATCAAAATGCCATCACAAGTCACCTGCTGCGTGTTATCAGGGTCCATGAAGGAGACAAAGGATAGTAACACTGTAACATGCCATGCATGTCATCAGGCAACAAAGGAAGGTTGGCATGACTGATAGTGGCTACCTCTTCTCATAGAAAAACATAAATACAAAATCCAAACAATCATCGACATGTTTCTAAATAGAGAAGTTCTTTGATAGCCTATGCTTCACAGCAAAGCTTGTATTAAAATCAATGACAGAGAGACAGAAAATTTCACAGATTTGGAACATTTAGTCTCCATGCTGAACAACAATGGTGACTGTACAAAAGAAGTCAGAAAAGACTTCCATTAGCAATGTAGAGACTAAAATGCATGAAGACTATGACACAGCACCTGCAAGCGATTTCAAGTAAATATGTTGAGATCTTTCCTGTGGTAATTGTGGATTGGTAATTATGGATGTGAGTCAGAGACTCTTAATCACTGAAGGAAAAAAAATGAACTGAAATGCAGCAGAAAAAATCTTCAAATGCCATGGACCAAGAGGATGAAAAACACCAACATTTCACACAATCTGAACATCAAGAAGAACGGGCTGCTTATCAACAGCATCCTGTCCCAAAAGCTGAGGTATGCTGGTCATGTTAAAGTCATGGCGGCCTGGAGAGAATGATGATGGAGGGTACAGTTTCCTGACAATGACGCACAGGCAGACACCCATGAAGGTGAATACAATAAGCTGAAGATGCACTGGCTAAAAAAGCACATGGGGCTGGAGAACTGGCTACAGAAAGAGAGACTTCCAGGTGTGACAGACGAGAGCAACGTTCTGTAAAGAATCTGCTGATGATGACCATACTTCACTGAGAAATGAATGAGAACTGAAGAAGAACAAAATATAAATGTTTTAAACAAGACATTTTGATTTTATAAAATCCAGTCCTATCTGACGGTAAGATAAGAGTGCCAAGAAATGATGTACACTTGATAAATTCCAGTCCTATCTGTCGGTAAGACAAGAGTGCCAAGAAATGATGTACACTTGATAAAATCCAGTCCTATCTGTCGGTAAGACAAGAGTGCCAAGAAATGATGTACACTTGATAAAATCCAGTCCTATCTGTCGGTAAGACAAGAGTGCCAAGAAATGATGTACACTTGATAAAATTATGTCCTATCTGTCGGTAAGATAAGAGTGCCAAGAAATGATGTACACTTGATAAATTCCAGTCCTATCTGTCGGTAAGACAAGAGTGCCAAGAAATGATGTACACTTGATAAATTCCAGTCCTATCTGACGGTAAGACAAGAGTGCCAAGAAATGATGTACACTTGATAAATTCCAGTCCTATCTGTCGGTAAGACAAGAGTGCCAAGAAATGATGTACACTTGATAAAATTCTGTCCTATCTGTCGGTAAGACAAGAGTGCCAAGAAATGATGTACACTTTATGAAATCCTGTCCTATCTGTCGGTAAGACAAGAGTGCCACGAAATGATGTACACTTGATAAAATTCTGTCCTATCTGTCGGTAAGACAAGAGTGCCAAGAAATGATGTACACTTGATAAAATCCTGTCCTATCTGTCGGTAAGACAAGAGTGCCAAGAAATGATGTACACTTGATAAAATTCTGTCCTATCTGTCGGTAAGACAAGGGTGCCAAGAAATGATGTACACTTGATAAATTCCAGTCCTATCTGTCGGTAAGACAAGAGTGCCAAGAAATGATGTACACTTTATAAAATCCTGTCCTATCTGTCGGTAAGACAAGAGTGCCAAGAAATGATGTACACTTTATAAAATCCAGTCCTATCTGTCGGTAAGACAAGAGTGCCAAGAAATGATGTACACTTTATGAAATCCAGTCCTATCTGTCGGTAAGACAAGAGTGCCAAGAAATTATGTACACTTTATGAAATCCAGTCCTATCTGTCGGTAAGACAAGAGTGCCAAGAAATGATGTACACTTGATAAAATCTAGTCCTATCTGTCAGTAAGACAGAGTGCCAAGAAATGATATACACTTTGTCAAGCAGTGAGAGGTCAGAAAATGCAATGGTTTTTAGGGTACGGTGCCTGGCCCTAACTCAAATCATACCATGCAGTTTTACAAAATAAAACAAACCTGAGGATTTTTTTTTTCCGGGTAGTGGATTAGATATCATTTCTTCAGCTCTTGATTTACTGCAATTTGTTTAGTTTCCTCCTAAAACTCAAACATTAGTGAGCCCATCATAATTCCCTCTGCGTATTCATTTAATGAATGTCTGTAGTTGCCTTGCAAATTCTTTTATATGGGGAAAATGCTACTGCCAATAATATGTTGGCTTCTTACACAAAAGTTAATGAATAATTCTCCATTTTCATTCAGTGACCGCCATTTTCCTCCAATTGTAGACCAAAAGGATATACTGTAGTTTAGTCACTCAGCTGAGTGCATGGTGTGAAACTGTGAGCTGCATATTTTATTTTCAATGTTTTTCGACTGTGACCAACATGGTGTTGTGTGTTGTGAACTTAAGATTCAGAAAATGGCAAGTGGCAATTGCCAGAGTATTGATTGATGGTGCCTTATGTGAATAAAACTGGCCACGTGTGCAACTGCTGATCTTGTTCCGTCTATGATGAATTGCATTTCAAAATGTCGGACTGTTTGTGTTAGCACTTCTGATGGCTGCCTTTATGCTTTTAAAGCATGTGTATGCTAGTGGATATGCTGAGACTGCAGTCTGTATCAAATTTTCCACAAGGGACTGTGATGGACATTCTGTGTGTTTTTCATTGGCACAGGAGAGGAGCAACTGTAGGATGACCAGTTTGTTATAAAGCTGAAACTAGGAGTACCAAGTGAATGTGTTCCCATAATCTCTTTATATCTGTTTTATCTAATCCTGTCTGAGCATTCAGGTCACCCATCATAACTTTTAAACTGTTCCTTATCTCATTACTTATAATATTTTGAAGTTGTGTGTAAAATTCCCCCTTAACTGATTCATCTGTATTATTTGTTGCAGCATATATTCTGTTCACTGGGAAATGAATAAGAACTGAATATAATGTTGTAAACATATTTAATTTATGATTGGTTGTTGTTCATTTTCTTCTTCTTTTCATTTATCCGAGTCTTGTGACTGTTTACAGCAGAGCAGTGATATTTGTGCCTTTCAGCCGACACATCCGACTTCATTGAGCATTTGTTGATCAGGTTAACTTCCCAGGATTGGTTGTTCTAAATGTTGCTCTTATTATTTTAGGACCCAATGCTTCCCATTCTACTAGTGCCCTCTTTTGGTAAAATTAGGGCCTCTCCTTCAAGCCCCAATTTCACAAACAGTAATTGTAAAAGACAAATGCTAAACATCATGGGTAACCATGCCCCCCCCCCCCCCCATTAATGACACAATGACCCCTCAACAAATGTGACCCACCTGCTTGATTGCAGTCACACATATCACAAAGGTCAGAGGTAGGATGCTGGTCAATGGCGTCACTGGAGTGTCTATAACAAACTGGACAAGAACAGATCAAAGAAAATTATGTCAGGTCAGATCTCTAGACTGGATGAAATTTAGAATATGTCACTCCTGCATTCAACATTTGTTATATCTACTCATTAACTGATAAACTTAAGCTCACAAATTAGTTTGATATAAAAGTAATGTAATGGTTTTACTTTTATTCCAAGGGAAAAGAGATTCTCCTGAACTTCGGTTCTCTAATCCCTGTCTTTCCATGTCAGCTGTTTGACGATTTACTTATTTAAAAGCATGTCCCACTTTCAATAATACACAAAACATAATTCAGTAAGCTTACTTATAAACTGACTTTTTTTGGTCTATCTGTAAGGGATAAAGCCGGCGGCAATGATGACAGCATGATTTATGCAGTTTTATTTTTTCTTTTATTGTGTACTAAGTTACAAATCAAAAAAGATTACTTGCAAATAATCAAATTATTTTGTTCGTTTAATTTTTTTTTCTAAAACAAATCAACACTGAGGTTAATGTGACGGCGACTGTCTTTTCTTCACATATTTCTTGGTATCCATTTTAGACTGGGTAAGCCTGGTTGGGAGCCTTCCGTCACTTATAAAAGAAAATAGCCTTAATGTGGATTCAAACCCGATCTTTATGCCTTTTTTTTTAAACTCCAGAATATCAGTAAGAATAATGTACTGGAGTGGAAAGTGTTCAGGTGTTTACAGGGTTTCCTCAACTTACGACCAAGTTTTACCCCAACTAAATGGTTGTAAGTCAAATTTATATTTTCAACACAATTTTTATTTAAACAGATTATAAAAATTGCACATAAAACACAGCAATTAAATACATGACTGTGATGACTCGACCCTGCAGCGCTCTAAACATCATTTCTAGGAACGTTTTACCCAATCAATGTAGTCCTTTTTTTTCTTTTTACTATTTTCATTTATTTATTATTTATGGTCGTAAGTTTAGACAGGCCTAAATAAATTAGAAGTGTATTCCAAGTCAAGACGTATGAGATGGAGTGGCCAGTTACTGTCATCATCACTGGGTTTTTTTTTCTGAAACCATTCCCAAAAATGTGTTTGCTGCCCATTTTTATAAGGTTAGGTCAGCCCAAGAGCTAACCTGGTTGGGAACAATAATCTTGCCCAAGAAGTGGATTTGACTCCAGCCACTGTTTTGGTTTGCAAGCCACCAAGGACCGAGAATATAACATGCTTAAAAAGTAGATATTTATATATTAACATTAGTCTATTCCTCAGATTCTAAATTTTTTAAACAGTCAACAAAAAAAAAAAGCCAACTTTATTTTTTGTTTAACAAACTGAAAAACAAACATTCTTAAACTTTCAGTAATTGCAAACAAGGAATAAAATAATCAATGTCAATTGTTTACAAAAATACTAAACATATGAAAAGCAAAAACAACACACAAATTCATTCACTATAAAACTATCAAAAACTGAATACAAGTACTTCGCTTTTTTCTGGTTTGAGACGTAGAAACAGCTAGAATGAAGAAAAGACAAATGAACTAAAAGATGGAATAATTTAAGTTTTATTTTAAATATAATGCATAACCACTTAAATATCCTACTGATCATTTAAGGAAACTCCAGCTGAATAAAGTTGTGCTTATCCTTTAAAGCAGTGGTTTTCAACCTAGAGGCCACAAGGAAGTTTCAAGGAAGTGAGATTTCTACTTATTTTAAAGTTATACAAATTTTTTTACAACATAATTATAAATTGAAACTGACATAATCAAAGAGAAAACCGCTTGCCAGCTTCATGTGGAGGATGACCTCCATTGCACCTCATCCAGGAACAGACAGAAAATATCGAGATAAAACTGTCAACCATCGCAATGAAATCTGAATATTAAATTACCAGTTGTTGGTGATTGCTTCTTTTACATTATTTGACACTGGTTTAGGTGGCTGTTTTTCTGCAAGTCCTCTTTTTAATCAAATTTTTTTTTCAAGTTGGGGCGGGAAGAAAGTGGTGGGATGGGGTGGGGGTGGGGGATACCTTGTCATATATATATATTCAAGGGGGGGAAAGAGGGGGAGGGGGTCTGTCCTATATTCAAGAAGGGGGGAAGGGGGGTCTTGCTGGAACTAAGTCTCTGAACACATGGACATACGAAGAATAGAGTCACATTTCTTGAAAACATAACTAATCAAACACAGAAATTCTGAAGATACTGGGAATGACAAGAAAGTTGGCCAAGAAAATAAAAATAAAAAGAGACAAGTGAAATATTTTTACCACAATTAAAAACCACACTGAACTGAAAAGTTCAAGAACAGGAAGCAAAAGGCAAACATCACCACAACTGGGAGGATACATCATAACACAAACAAATACTGGTCTCACAGTGTATATCCAGGGTGAAAGACAGTATTCTGTAAATCTAGTGTTGTCAAACTTCACCGTGAGATGGCACCTGACTGACTGGTTGGTGGGTACATCAAATATTTCCTAATTGTTTAGCAAGTGTTTGTCATTGCCTTTCGATCACAATGTGTGTAATTTATATTCAGTGTATATTTGCTGTACGTCAGAAAATACTAATATATGTAAGGTATGCCAATACAATAAAAGGTATTGGCTGTTTTATGATCAAACCAAGGTTGGTTTCCTATTTTACTGAACTCCTTGAGACTCAGGTATTTATTCCTGAAGCTCAACTATGGAGCCACACAACCCACACATGGATGTTCAGTGTTTGAGTGTGACCTTCCATGTGCTATGTGATAGAGAAAAAGTGGTTTTATTGATAAGTTCGCTTGTTTCCTGCTGCAGACTTGACTTCTAGTGAAGTCATCATTTCTGAGGTATAATCAGAGACATTTACTGAACAATACAGCTTTAATTATGGGACATGCTTACCTGAATACATGCAACACACAAGAAATAGAAATTTGCAATTCTCTGCAACTGTTCAAAAAGATTCTTTGGCAAAAATGTCAAAACTGTATACTGTAAAGGAATTAAACAAACAAGCAGAAATAAAGCACTACAGACTAAAATTTAAAAAAAAAAGGACATGCAAACAAACTATATAAAAAGCTAACAAAGGTAGACCAAGTGGAGTGACACTAAATGCATGCAGTTACAGAAATGATACGAAAAGCAACTAAAAAGATGGACATTATAAAACTACATCTCACAAACGAAGACAAATAAATAAAACACAGTAAACACTTGACATAATGATTTTATAATATACAGCTAGAATGAGAAAGAAGTAAACAACTCTACATTTTCTTATGATTTCCAAGCTAATTGGTAGAACTGGTCTGAATGCACTTATCTTCATGCCGAAGGTCAAATCTGTATTTAAATAACCTGCACTCCCAGGTCAAACCAGCCCAACAGTTGTACCAGGAAATATTTGGGGAAGGAAAGGTGGCCAGTGTGGTGCTGACCACACCACCCATTGAGTACCAATTGGTCTATAAAAATATGGGTCCAACATCATAATCCATGGCTGCCCTGCCAAGAAAAAGGTCATGTGTTTGATTACTGTTTGTGTCTGCCTCGTCCAGCACATGTCACATCACATAACTCTTTTTGTTATTTTGCTAAATGGAAAACTCAGCAACACAAGCATCTGACAAATTACTTTTTGCTAAGACTTAATTAATAATACATGTAATTAACAAATTTATCGTTGCCAAGACTGTCATTTAAAACTTGTGCACTATCATAAGTATTCACTCTCACAAATAAGAAATATAGGGTATCAGTACTTCATAACATCTGTAAATGTCCATGTGTCACAGAAGATCTACAAACTTTACACAAATTTGCAAAAGTCCATCTATGGCAAACATCTACAAATTTCTACCTTGTTACAAACAAAAGACTGTCATGTGTCATAAACAAATACAAACTTCTATATGTGCTAGACAAAAAAAACTTTCAAATGTCACAAATAAATACACACTTTCATATGCTCCAAACAAACAGAAAACTGTCATATACCCAAACAAATACAAATGTTCATGAGTAACAAATACAAAATTCCATATGTCACAAATAAATACAGGTTTTCATATGCTGCACACAAATACAAACTCCCATAGGTCACAAACACATACAAACTTTCATTTATCATAAAAACAATTTTTTATGCATCACACAAAAATAAAAACTTCCATGTCACATGCACATATACACCGCTATAAACACTATATGCACACAAACACATGTGCTGGTGTTCCAGTGACATAAGTAACAATGGAACCTACCTTGGAGGATATGACAGTGTTGTTGGGATAAACTGGGAGAATGATGTCCTCATCTGAGGCTGGCAGCTTATTGTCCACATACACTGTGCGGTTTCCTTCATTACGGCGTCGGTTTAACAGGTGCTAGATTTATAAACATGTATGTCAGTTACTGGTAAACTAACCGGGTACCAGTTAACTCACCATGAGTCGACAGGTTCATCATAACACCATAAATTTGTTTTCTAAACACCTTGTTTCTGTACAGCTGTAATCATATGTGTCTAACATCCTTGAATGTTGCAGGATTTTAATATTTTGTTTTAATATTGATAAATAGTTTAGAAGTATTCTGCACTCATTTATCTTTAATTTGTTATATTATATGAGTCTACTGGTTTATCATAACACCATAAATTTGTTTTTTTAACACCTTGTACCTGTAAAACTATAATCATATGTGTCTAACATCCTTGAATGTTACAGGATTTTAATAATATTTTGTTTTAATACTGACACTTAAACAGTTTATAATTATTCTGCACTCATTTATCTTTAATTTGATATATTATATGTTCTGATATAGCCAATACATTTTCTTCAGTAAGGTCTCAGCTTTGTTGTATTGCAGTAAAAAATTCCACTCAAAATTAATGCTGTCCAAACCCCCCAAAAAAATGTGGTCCTGAAAGAGTTAATTGTATCCAATTACACACTGAAGACACAGTATCATCAGATTTCAAGCTGGTTTCATTAAACGTATTTACAGATATGTTACAGTAATTCCACCTGTCAAGTTGTTTACATTATATCTATTTACAGTCATGCTACAGTACCTCCACCTGTTATGTTGTTTACATTATATCTATTTACAGTCAGGCTACAGTACCTCCACCTGTTAAGTTGTTTACATTATATCTGTTTACAGTCAGGCTACAGT